GGAAACCAGAGAGCTTCCAAACAGCTAGACAAATGGAGGCTCCTGGAGGGTATGGCACCCAGAGAGGCTTGGAAGCAGTGTACATCTCCTCCCATACCGTGCCCTGTGCATTTCTTCATCTCTGTCTTTTCTAATACCGTTTACAACAAGCCAGTGAATATAAACGCTTCTCCATGTTATGTGAACATCTTGAATTCAGGGAGGGGACTGTGGGAATCCTAACTTAAAGCTGGTTGGTTGGAAGCTCAGGCTACAAACTCTGGGGTTGTGACTAGCATCTAATGCAGGGACCGTTTTGGGGAATTGACCTGACATCCCTCCAGGTAGATCATGGAGGTCCTGCATCAAATTAGAAGATGCTCAGCTGGCTGGTAATCCATGACATTCCCTCAAGGTACATCATGGAGGTCCTGCATCAAATTAGAAGATGCCTGGCTGGCTGGTAATCCATAACATTCCCTCCAGGTAGATCATGAACGTCCTGGATTGAATTAGAAGATGCCCAACTGGTTGGTTTCCACTCCAGAACTGCTTGCTTTGCTGATGGAGACAAATCTCCACTTTTCAAGGTCACAGAAATGATCTGTGTTTAGATTGTGTAGGAAAAGCTGAGATTCATTTTACTTCCTCAGTTGGCCTAACCTATTATACAACAAAAGATTTATTATTAGGTCATCTCATTAGGAGAAGGTAGGCAGTTGTATAGATTCTGTGGTTTTTGCCTCAAGTTCGCAGGACAATCGCATTGCATCTTGTACAGGAAACACCACAGACATACTTAATTTGCTTTTTGTTTCTTCCTTGTAGAGTACCAAAGTAAAGGCTGCAATGGAGCTTAAAAAAATAGTTGATCCTTTGGAAGGAGTCCCATTCATTTTGGAGAAAATACATATTGAAAAATCACAGTAATCACATTCTTCCTTAAGTCATTTTTATTTAAGACATAAAACAGGATGCTCATTTACCTTGACGTAAATTACACAGCTGATGCGCAAGATAAGATAGAATTATACAAAAATATCAAACCTTTGACCTCAGAACAGTGTACAGGATACGCCATACACAGAGCATTCAAAACGCTCTTTCACACACTCAGCTAATTCTAATTATACCTCGCCAATGACTGTCACCTTGCAGCAAATTCCACAAATTTCTATGCAAAAGGTTCTTTGTTCTTGAATGTCAACAAAGCATTTTCACCTAATCATTTTTTTAATGATTCTATGCAAATAACTTTAAATTGTCCCTTTGATGAGTTCAGTTTGAGGTAAGTTAGGAAAATGAGCAATCTAATGCTTTAAACTAGGAAATGCAGAAACGTGTGCAGGGAGTATGATGGATGCTCCAGGGCGGTAGTTATTAAATGCAATATTCTTCTTTTTAATAAGATAGATACATAGTGCACATGGCCTATTAACAATCTTACAGCTTCACAGTAGTAACACACAGCATGTCATCCCTACAGGCCAGTGTTTCCTAATCCTGCAGCGGGGACCTGCTGCTTCCCCTGTGGGGGCAGCAGGTGGCACAGATTCAAATGCTAACCACTAGGGTCACCTGTGTGGAATGGCTCCGGAAGGAAGAATCTGCAAACTGTCATTTCAGACAATGGTCTTCACATGACGCTGAGATGTGTTAACCCCAGAAACTTAGCCCGGGGTTAATCTATAAGTAAGATTATACTTTTGCTCTTATAGTGACAAGTATGTTGGTGAGTGCTGTAGGGTGGGACACATGGAGTCTTAGGAAACTTTGGCCATTTTCATGGATTGGGTGGTAGAAATCAAAGACAGGTAGTTTCATGTCCTCGTCTGCCCACATTTCTTTTGTATTTATCAAAGTATAAGTTGTCACGTAACATCAGATCTACATGTGGTGACTTCCTTCACTATGGCTACTCTATGGAAGAAAACAGAAACAATATTCACTTCCCTTTTTCCCTCCATCTCTCCCCAGCTCTTAAAATACAGGTGTGGGGACAAACAATACTAATAGGGATTAATCATGAACAGAGTGGGTTTCCATTTCTGATGTCATTTGGAAGATTTCTTTTAAGATTTTTGTCCCCAGTTCATAAGCATAAATCAAACAAATGAGAGATCAGATATTCAGCCTCAAACTCTTGTATAAGAGCCTCAAAACTCCACACTCCTTTTTCTGAGTATGTACCTTGAAACACACAAATGCCAAACGTCACCACAGCACTCAGTCATTGGCCCCTGCTTTATAGCCATGATTCCCATGATGTGATAAATAAGGGGTCTCTGAGTCTTTGTTCACAAAATATAACATGATACTAGCCTAGTCCACACAAGGGGCATATGGCATGGGACAACCTTGCTGAGGAAGCCCCACACCAAAGCATCTGCAGGTTGAGGAAGAGAAATCTAATTGGCACGCCGAGCAGGGCTGCAAACAGACTCTAGCTCCTGATGTCCATCTTCTGCAACTCCAATCCTACAGGGTGTGTCAGGAGGAAAAGCAAGGAAGTCTTGGAGCAAGTCTTCGACTTACCACATCCTAGAGGAAAGTTTTGCAGTATGCAATCAACAACGTAAACAAAGAGCTGCTCTCAAAACCAACAGTGATAAGTGAGACTCAGCTTTGCACATCTGCAGTATAGTAACATTTCACCAAGAAGTGTTTCTGAAGTGGGGAGCAGAGCCCGGGCTGTGGGAACAGTGGGGGCTTGGGCCCTTTGTCATTTATTTATTTATTTATTTCCATAGGTCAGAGCTGTACATTCCCCTGGGCCAGACGTTTTAGGGACCATAGGGCTGGGACTTGCTGCCTCCCCATGCTACTCTGTATTCTTCTCATGGTTGATGGCTAAATCTCTTACTCTGAATTTCTAAATTTGAGGTAACCTTTTAATGCGAGGATGAAAGGCACTGATTAGTTCACAAGAGGCCATCGTTTAATGCCATTGCTTTTTTAGTTCTTTTAAGAAATTTTATGTATTTTTTTTAGTAGTGTACAACAGTACTTCCATTTGAGAAATGGCGGTATGATAGTACCCGTTGCCCTTATGTGGTTCTAGAGTTCAAACCCAGGGCCTTGCATGAACTCTCTGAGCACTCAACCACTGGGTTACGCCCAGCCTTGCATGTGACCTTTTGCAATGTGCTTTGGCTTACCTTTCAATACAGACTTAATGGGCAGTGGGGGGTTCTGGATTCTAGGTGGATTCTGTAGCTAGAGCTTGGGGGCCACTGTCCAGTTGGAAGCAAGAGTCCAGGCTATTCATTTTGAAGTTGTATCATCATTTAAGATCTCTTTGGTGCAATTAATTTGCATATTGTAATTTTGAAACGGCACCAGCCTGAGGACAAAGCCCTTCTTTCAGTTTTTAGAACTGTCCCTTGGGTGAGGCTGGGGATTGTAAAAATACGTAGGGACAGTTACTGAAGGCTTAAATCCCTCTGGTTTTCCCCATAGAGTCATGGAGAACAGCGGCCCATATGGTCGTCAGCCTCTCAAGGAAGGATGTTGCATCTCTGAAGTACATTATACTGTATGATACCATGCCAACCCTTTGGAGTGTCATTAAAAAAGCTGGGTTGGAAAATTGAATGAATGGTCCGTTCACTGAAGTTGGCATTCACAGTAACAGCAGTACACGTCTTATTAACAGGCTACTAAGGCAGTCTTTCTGAAAAACATCTGAGAAGAAGAGTGATGGGGAGAAGGATGCTTGGGAGGTTTTAAGAACCAATGAAGAGTGCATAAAATGTGATTTTGGACAACTTATTCACCAGAAGGCACTTTATTTGAATGATAAAGTATACCTGGTACATGAGGCAGATTCTGGGCCTGGCACATGAGACAGGCTCTGAGTCTGGGTCTTCTCTAGTTTGCTCAGCATCATGCAGAACAGCATAGGAGTTAATAAAAAATTGATGGTGTGTTCAACGAAGATGTTGCTATGGAAAGCACATTCCATGGTAGCCAAAGGCTGCCATTCAGTGTGTTAGCTGTGGCCTTACTAAGAGTAAAACCAGAGCTTTCCATAGCCATTACTGTAATACAATGCCACTCTATCACAAATTTCTTATGCAAAGATTTCTGCTTTCCAACTGAGCTTAGATTTTGGTTTATAAAAGGAAAAGTAGATGATTTTCTATGAAAAACATATTCACATTATATCTATATAGATAAAAATTATTCTGGCTGCCTAAGCATCAAATTTTATAAAAATCTCTCTTCCTATAAGCTTTTATTCAAGTATACATATGACACAGAAAATATTTGGGGTCAAAGTTGCCAGTGATCCTAGTACTCACAGAAAAATAGTTTAACAAATCACACCACTGATGTTTAAATCAGATCCCAATTTTTGCCAAAGAAGACCTTTCCTCATGTCCCCTCAGGCCTGTGAGCTTCTTGAGAAAGCAGAACAGTTTCTTTGTGACTCCTGAGTGGCTCTGGTTCTTAGTGGAGTGCAGGCCATGTTTTGTATTTTCTTGCTTTCAAGTCCTTCCTCCTGCAAGTTCGTATTGTTTTATTCATATTAAAGAATGATTAGTCTTAGAAATTCAAAACTAAAGGATGAATGATCTATAGCATTCTAACTTCTGGAATTGATACAACCAGTATTTTCAGCAGAACTGGAAGCTTGATTGGAGTGCGTGCTTAGGTGTGTGTGTAGACTGTGAACACTGATCTGCATCTCTATACATCGGTTTTTCTACTACGTAGAATTAAACTACATAGTGTATTTCAGTGATATGCCGCAGTATCTCATACTAGTCGGTAAGCTCTGACACACATTTGTAGGAATTCTGCAAGCTGAACAGGGTTATGTTAGGTGTCTGAAAGTGGCTATGGACAGAGCAATCAAGCCACAAAAGTCAGATATTGGGGTATTTTTTCCTCTTGAAGAACAATATGTTGAGTAATTTATTTGTGTTCCATTGTGTGTGTAACGCAGGACAGAGAATGCATATATAGTTCAGTTCACAGTGGAAAATGGAAGAAATAGTGCTTAAAAAAATCAAAGCTACAAGATATTTGGTGATTTATTTTAATCTATAAGTTCATAAATAGTCTTAAGTATCACTCAGTTTTTCCTATTGTTTTAAAATAATGTCGCCGGGCGGTGGTGGCGCACGCCTTTAATCCCAGCACTCGGGAGGCAGAGCCAGGCGGATCTCTGTGAGTTCGAGGCCAGCCTGGGCTACCAAGTGAGTTTCAGGAGAGGTGCAAAGCTACACAGAGAAACCCTGTCTCGAAAAACCAAAAAAAAAAAAAATAAAATAATGTTATAGAATTTAGTATATTTCTTTATTATTTATATGTTCTAGAATATTTCTAGAAAGCTAATTTTGGGCATCTGTGATCATTTTTTAAAGCAAAGCCTCTGCATTTGTATTTTTTTAGCTTACAAAATAATGACTAAATTTAAATACTAATGAAAGTGAATACTGTCTGAGAAGCAAAGGAAATAGACCCCATCACTGGTGCTGCTGCTTTTGTGTGCTTAGTTTTGGCCCTAATTTTGTAAGCTCTGTCATTAAGCATGGTTGTTCTGTGTTAAAATGGTATGTATATGTGTGTACAAACAATAACACACACACAGAGATTCAGTTATGATAGTAGAGAAATGAGATGTCTGATTCCTTGAATATTTACTGCTAACCAGGAATAACATATGTTACAAACTGGTAGGTAAGTGGCTTTGGCACCTTTTTATCCAGCCTAACTGCTCTTCCTCTCCTTAGAAGTTCAAAATGTCCTTATTTCTGCCTTGCCCTTTTGGTTTAAAAACATTTTCAGTTTAAAGATACACACTTGTAGCTCAGTGTATAAAGTCTAGCGCCTGGCAGTCCCTGATGTCGAAGATGAGTCTAAATGTATCGGGTAAATTTCATTCCCAAAGGCCTGGAGTTAGAAGTAGGGCTGCTGAGCATGAGTGCCGGAGTTGGGCACCATGGTGACTGAGCAAGAAACACCTGAGTTCTGACGGGGAAAGAAGAACAGGAGGAAGGCATGATTCTGAAGCCGGTGGGAGACAGTGAGAGTGGAGAACACACCTTTCTTCTTGTTGCCTGTCTACCTTTCTTCCAGCCAGGGATGACTATGGCATCATCATGTCCATCCCTTAGGGATCTTACACGTAGAGCTGGAAAGCCAAGAGGTAGGCTGAATCTGAGCCCTAAGGTAATTCCTCAGAAATACGTTTTAAATAATCAAACCCATAGCACTTAATTTCTCTGGTGACTTGCTGTGTTTTGAGGGGAGCAGAGTCCAGCTCTTTTGGGATATTGACAGGTTCCGTTCTTGACGGTGGTCCATCAGGTGGAGAAGTGGCTTTGGGGCAGGAGGATCAGCAAATTTTACAGCAGTAGTTCACACATGAAGATACTGTACATTCATTCATTGTTATTTATCTTAGAAATGGAGCAATCTGGGAGCTTACATTACAGCGGAGTCCAAGGTCCCTAGGAACTTCAGGAATGCAGAAGTACATACAAATGAGTTGTATCTTTCTGCTGGTTTAAGTTTTCAAGCTATAAATTCTTTAAACTACATTTCTTGGTTCCTGTTTAAATACTGATATGCCATGTTCAAAAGCAGTGAGTTCTTGGTAAAATATAAAACTACTTCGGGAGACAGCTTTTTCAATAGTAACATAAAATGTATTTAGAAAATTAAAAATTTTGAAAATAAACTTTCATATCTTGGGGTTTTAACTGAACCCTATACCAAAGTGTCGAGAAGTCTCCTACTTTAATGTAACATCTGGAAGCCCTAGTTTTAAACAAAACTGCTCAGCAAGGTGACTTTAGTTATTTTCGGTTATCTCTCTATGCTCTCAGGTTTCATTAAACCCTCTGGGTGTCACACACACATTGTGACTTTTTATGAATGCTACACAAACTGCTTTAACTGTTTTTTTTTTTCCTTTATAAAAGAGTTTTGTGTTTTAGAGCTCAATATAAATTAAGCACTTTTACTTTTTGTAGAAGTTCAATGAACAGATGCAGTGCCCTTGTTTTAAATAACAACTCTATCTTGACTGTCTATTCTATATAGAATTTAAGCTCAATGGCACTGTTTTCCAATCACATTGGAAAACACTATTTCCAACAACTGAACCCAAGAAGTCAATGAGTGTTACTCCTGTGATTTAACTCTATTTTCAGTCTATATTTTACATGGACTCTGCTAGGCAAAGCTTTTCTCATCAGAATTGGGAGATCTTTTCCACTCCATTCCTTTGTTGGCATTTACAGATACTGAGTGTCACTCTGAAGGTATAATCAAGGGGAAAAGCTTAATTTACATTGTGCTGAGAGTAACTGTCTCAATGAACACAAAGCTCTTTTTGTGCATCCCTTAAATACTCTGCATGGCATTTAAACACATAAACATACTTATAGTGGGGATTCTTCTATAAAACATTTTGTCATTTCACTTACTCAACAAAAATGAGTAATTATTAAAAGTATTTCTCATCACTTTCTAAACCATATCTTTGGGTACCCTTTTTGGACCATACTTGATCTGTCACTTTCCAAGTGAGTAATCCCAGCTGGATGATGGATTACATAAAGTTATGTGACCATGTCTTTGGTTATAGTTCTGAATTTCTTCTCACATGATTGAGGCAAACCTGAGGATAGATCATTGAATAATTGTTACAGTTCTTTTTCCTCCTGTAAAATATTTCATTTCTCCATTTTCGTCTTTAGTGGCCTTTTGAAGAATCCAATCTGTTGAGAAAATACAAAGGATAACACCATTATTTTAATTGAGGTAATAGATGGCAATCTATTTAGATTTAACCGTGCATTAGAAAAATCTGGGCATACAACTATTCCAATACCTGATGCATAGTTTAGCTGACCAATTAGTACTGAATGTAAATTAGATAGCGTCTGTCAAACTGCTGCTTTATCTTTGGCTCTTGCACCACGATAGTTAAGTCTATGGCCTAGTAAAAATCACGCATGTGTGGAACAAGCAGCATTCTGGGAAACGTGAGGCAGGTGAACGACAGTTCAACGACACTGTTTCTCCTGTGTCATCACCATTGTTTTCAAGTGGCAGAAACATTTCCCTAAAGTAACCAACGGTCACACATTGAAATTCTTAGAGTTCCTAGCGAGCTTGGTGGAAGGCCATGGGTAAGGTGCCAGGGAAATGTCGGAACTATCTAGATGACTCTAAGTGGATCATGATTTTGCACATAAGCTTCCCAGGAGAAGTTTCTCGAAAGACCCCATGTCATTTACCTATGAAAACAGAGTCACTGATGGTAAGAAAAAAAAAAAATCACATAGTGGTTAATGTAAGTCACATTACACCATTCTTTGTCATCGAGCCATTAGCAAAGTTATCAGCCTTTATTTTTACTTCGTATTATACAGAAAGCAAAAGCATTTGACACACAATGAGACTTTGGAAGTGACCTAACCTTATTTTAAAATGTATTGAATAAATTAAATCTCATTTAAATAATTTAATCTTCCTTAAGCCTAACACTTAACTTTTTAAAAAACATACCTAAGGGTACTAGGCAAGTAGCCTTTAAAGTTTGTGTGCTCTAATTTTTTTTTTTAATTTAAGTGAGTTAATTATTTGCAAATGTAATGTATCCATATCACGTGAATCTATGGCTAACTATGGATAACAGGAGCATGTTACTGTGGGGTACCTGTGTGGATGGTGGTGGTGGAATGCAAATGCAGAGGCTAGAAGACCAACTTGGGCATGGTCCCTTAGGAGCTGTGGACTTTGCTTTTGGAGACAGCATCTTTCATTGGCCTATTAGACTAGCCTGAATATCCAGAGAGCCCCCCCCCCGGGGGGGGATGTCCTGTTTCCACTGCCAGTGCTGGGATTATAATCACATTACAACTCGATGCCAACATGCACAACTTTAAAAAAAAAAAGATTTATTTTTACTATGTGTAATTCTGTGTCTCTATGTGTAGGAATGTGCACGTGAGAGCTGGTGCCCTCAGAGGCCAGAAGTCAGATCCCCTGGATCTGGAGTTACAGGTAAATGTGAGCCATTTGACGTGGGTACTGGAAACTGGACTCTGGTCTCCTGTAGGAGCAGTACGTGCCCTTGCTAAGCCATCTCTCCAGCCACCACTGCTTAACCATCCCGATTTTTTTCTTAATGTGTGTTCTGGGCTGGAACTCGGGTCTTCATGCTTGGAAGACAAGCACTTTGCTAACTAAACTCTCTCCCCAGCCTGGGACTACATGCTTCACACGTGATGATTGAGCACTTGAGAGCTCACAGGGACAGATGATAAAGAATACGTCTTTCCAAGCAAGGAAGATTCTTTCTGCCAGAATCTAGTTGCTAGAAGATGAGGAAAACGTGGTAACAGAACGAATGAACTTGGAAACTGCCTTGAGGTTATATTTTCCTGAACACCAGTCATTTCCTTTGTGGCAACTACGGACTTGGTTATCACTCAGTCCTTCACCTGCACCCATGTGCCCCAGGACAGTAAATCAGGGAGGTTTTTACCAGAGTGGATGGTGAGTATTTAAGAAGAGGGTACACAGTGTGACACACTGCAGCTCCCAACGCCGCCGGGAGGAACGAAGAGGTATTGGAGAGGCTGGAAAGGCGGAGGAGCCAAGAGGTGTTTCCAAGTGGGGAAACCACAGTGTCAGCACAAGCTGTAAACCAGGCCTTGGGCTCCACAGTGTGGCAAAGCTAGGTATTGCAGCGAGCACTGACATCTTGGAACTTGAGGGGAAGAAAGAATACTGAATGTAACCTGGGTCTCGGGAGTTTCCTGGATCATAGATTCTATTTACGGAATTCAATGCTACTTGTGGATGTTCTCCTTGGAGGAAATCCCCCAAAGAGGAAGTTTGTCGTCACAAAAAAGCCAGAAAGTATGGTGACAGCTGTAGTTCAGTCGGAGAGAAACTTGCTATATAAACTATTTGATTAAATAATTCTGTCATTTGTCCGTTAGAAAAATGAATATGCAGTTACATTTCCATTTTGCATAATTTTATTTAAGAAAGCAGTAGGTAAAATATAGGAACATGTTAATGCCAGGCAGTTTGGATTCCATATTTAATTGAAAAAAACAAAACATTGAATTCAACTTTTCTATGGAATGTTGTTTTCTGGTAAATTCATCCTAAAAGTGATCATCATAGCTTGTTTGAAAATGATATGTTCTTACATTTCTCACCTTAAACCATCTCAGTGAATGTCAAGATTAATTTGAGAGAAAACAGATTGCCACTTGGTGTTCCAAAAGGATTTGATATGGTGGTCTCTGAACTTTACATTCTTTATTATGCCAGCTAACTATTACATTACTTGTTCCTTATACAGCCACACAATTATTGCAGAAAATGTGGGTTTTTCTGTTTACACACCAAAGAAATGCTTTATCTTTAAGACACATAGAGTGGTATGGCTTAAACAAGGTTCATCTCAACCATGAATAGTCCTTGTATGCCCTACATCAACACAGACATTCAATCTTTTTTTTTTTTTTTTTTTTTTTTTTTTTTTTTGTATTTTGAGATAGGGTTTCTCTATGTAACAGCCTTGGCTATCCTAGAACTAGCTCTGTAGACCAGGCTGGCTTCAAACTCACAGAGATCCCCCTGCCTCTGCCTCCCAAGTGCTGGGATCAAAGGCGTGTGCCACACCACCTGGCTATTTTTCTTACTTTTAAAGATAATAATTATCCTTAATAAAATTTTAGTTTATTGTTAAACAGTCCTCAGTAATCCCTACCTGTAAAGAGGCCCCCCAGGAGTTTTGGATATACGTATCCCCAACAGAGGCATACTTTTTCCCTTTGCAAAAACGAGATGTGTCGTACACAATGTCTAAAATATTGCATTTTTTAAAAATTATCGCTTATCATAAATGTTTATATACTATTATATTCCAAAGCATTGATAACTCATAATTTGTTTTGCCAGTCTTCTGTTGGTGGCCGGAACAAAGGGTGACAGTAACAGTGGTACTCACCTTCCACAGAGCTAAAATCAGCAGCATCAGCAGCAGTAGCCCAGCGAAGGCACTCAGGAGGATGACCCACAGTGGTACTCTGCCTGGGAGCCCATCTTTGGATATTTGAATAGCCAGCTGAAAATGATTAAACAGGTTGTTAACACTGATAAACACCCATTAGAACTCCCAGGACACGGAGTTCTTACAGACTACAGTTTTTCTACCAAACGGTGTAATTAATCTCATGACTGTGTACAAAAACAAACCCCGTCGGGTTTACATTTGAAAATGCCTTCCATTTACTCACAATGTCCAATAATGTCAAATTTATTATCGCTCAAAAGTGGAGCCCTTCAAAATAGAATTTTGCAGCTTCCCAGATGGGAAATCTAAAGCTTCCCAGGACAAGACAAGAAAAATCAAGCTTTTGTCTAAAACAAGTTCTTTGAATTTAAAAAGTCAGGAGTAAAATATTTGTATTTTTACCAAGGACTCAGCTTGACAGGCCTTACTTTTGTTTGGGATTTCGCAGTAACTATGTGAAGGAGTTTTAAAACCTTATACACATATAACATACACATACATACATACATACACACATACACATATACACAATAGACAGGCATTCTGTAAATAGATTTAAGGCCACCTGCATTATATAATGTTAGATCCTAAGGAGGCAGCTCACAAGCATCCCCCTTTGTCACTAAAGCGAAAGTGGAAACATCCAGTCACTGTCATAGTTAAAAGCGATAAAGTAAAGCACAGTCGGTGAGTTGTAAACATCACGGTTTTCCTAGCTTCTGAGGAGTAAGAACAAGCCTGAAATCCCGTTAGAAGCCAATGAAAAGGAAATCCAAGAGTCTCTGACAAGAGCGTTGAATCAGTCACTGCGGCAGCCCCTGTGCGCTAAACAGAAAACGCCACCGGCAAGTTGGGAGTGAGATGCTTATTATCTTCAGATGGACAGTTTGGAGCGAAAGGCAGAAAATATTTCCAGCCATGCAGCCTCACTTACCTCTCGTTTCCGGTTGCTGCTACTTAAAGTCAGCGTTGTGTTTTCACTCCGAAGTTCTCCCCTTATAGTGAGATTGAAGCTGGAAAAATGTGTCTGCAAGGCAGGTAGGACTCGTTACTACTGTACTGGGCTAATCAAGGTGAGAGATGGTCATGTGTGACCAGCATAATTATCACACCAGCTGCAGTCACCCATACAAGACAGGCGAGACCAAGCCAGCTAAAGACCTGATAATGGATTCAGGAAGATGCTCCCGAGGTCCCACCTCTAGCTGAGGAACTGTTGATAGCTGCTGGGGGGATGGAAAGTCACTTTTCTTTTCTTTTTTTTTTAAAAAAATATATTTTTTAAATAAAAATATAGTCGCACACTCTCCTCTCTCTCCCTCCCCTCCAGTCCCTCCCATAAACCCCTATTCCCTTTCAAATCATTATCTCTTATTTTTTAATTGTTATTGTTACATATGAGTAAATACAAAACACAGTCTGCTGAATCTACTTAGTGCTGCTACTGAGTGTGGCCACTGGTGAGTTCCCCGTGTCCCAGTGGATAAACCCACACCCATGCGTATGGGCAGCTCTAATTAGATTGGGTGGGTTAAAAAATAAATAAAAAGTTATAGAAGAAAGATATGATGTTGGGAGTTGTTCTGGGAGGAGTTGGAAAGGGGGGAGAGGAGTAGATGTGATCAAAATACATTGTGTACTTTTGAAAAAGAAAATAGAAAAAACTGAGATCGTTCTGTGAGATTAATGCACTGGTGACTGGGGGCTCCTCCTCCTTCGTTCCCCCCTCCCCCCACCAAACTGTCCTTAAGATCCTTCTCAAAGAATGAGAATTAGGAACTTCAAAATAATTTCTCATCTGATTTTTCTCTAGAAAAACAAACTTCAAACTTCCCTTGCTTCTCATGCATCTAGGCGTAGGGATAGTTACAATCTGATAATGAGGACTATGCAGGGCACTTATTAAGGATTGTGCATGAAATTAACAACATTAAAATGCCATGACTTAGCAAAATATCATATTAATAGGACCAAACCTAAAATGCTCAGTTTCATATGATCAACTAAATATTTCTTTAAAGAAAAACAAAAAAATACAAAATACAATAAACTATGTTTTAAAACAGCCTGCACTCACATGAATGTGGCTTTGTGAGGGATAAAGAATATAATTGCATAGAAATTTCAAAAATAAATCACTGTTCCATAATGTATTCAAGTCCTCTACTTTGTTAATGGTATCAAAGAATGTCTCTCCATCATTTTTTGAACCTTAATGAGGTCCCAAACTATTAGGATATAAGCCTAAACTTCAGTACCGGAGAAGTAGTTTTCTCTTGTAGTGCAAACATTGAGGAAGAAAGAGCCCCAGAACCCTGCATCTGGCAGGGAACACTGGTGATAACTCTGTCATTGACAGATGGGGAAGATGGTCCCACACAGCTGGTGAGGGAGAGCTGGTCCTCGGTCACATTCTCCGAGACTCCCAGCCTCAGGTTCTTCCCACAGCAATGCTGTGACTTGCACCAACACACTAAGAGTGAACTAACACTTACTGATTGGATTCGATAACCGCTTAGAGCAATTCAACCACTCACTTTTATGAAGGTTGGTTTCCACAAGATGAGTGAAACGTTCACTTGACTCACATCGGAAGGCATGAGATTGCACGTGATGGTGGCAAGTTTACAGGTACTGCAATCCTGTTGGATTGACAGAGACATGTTAGGGTGCTTGCAATCTGGTCACAGGCTCTATATGTAAATTCTTCAGATAGTTATTTATTTCTAAGTTGATACTGGATGCTCTGCACTTGGAAAACATCACGTAAAAATAGAATTTAGTGTACCTGGATTGTGCCTCTTTTGAGATCCTCAGACTTGGATATTGTCATTTTCTTCCCAGAATTGATACCGAAAGGATCCTCAAGGCTCCGGGGTTTGCAGTTCACATTCTAAGGAAGGAAAATGTTTCCTCATTAGAAAGTGGCAAAGCCAGAGGGAAAAGGCCAGTTGGTGCAATAACATGAAGAATCTGCAAACGGCTGCCAGTGATATACATTGAAGGTCCATTTGTGAGTGTGCAGGGTAGAGAGGCTGTGAGACATCCACGATGTCTTCCCACTCGGATAACAATCACTGTTTCCAGGACCCTTGTAATTGCCACAGAGGAGGAAGCATACTAGTAGAGTTCATTATTTCATGAGTAACATAGTTATTAATTTATTGTTTCTCAAAGAACAACTGATAAATTTTCATTATGTATGTATATATATATTCCCATAATATATATATATATATATATATATATATATATATATATATATTAAACTACACACACACACATATTCTATTGAGGAAAAAGAAAGTGTTAACATGTTGTTATAGGCTCAATTTGATGCTTATTTTGTTGAACTAGAGGGAAATTCCAGAGATTTTTTTCCTTGCCCTTAGCAAAATATTTAAATGATTGAAAGGCAAATACTACAGTTGCCATGTTTTAATTCTGAGAAAGCTTCAGTTTTTAAAAACTTTATGAAAAGAAGGCATAATGTTAAATGTTCAATTCATGCATACACTAAATTAACAATTACTGTGTTTTAGACACTACACAGAGAATAATATTATTAATAATTAATGCCACATAATTATTATTATTATTATTATTAATAAAACAGCACATAGTCTATTCAGCGCTACAGGCACAATGGGGCTGCAAGGTTGGGGTTGTCTGGGGTAAGTGCACAATCATCTACTCTTTTGTGGACAGCTATGTATGTTTAGAAATAAGGCTTCTTTATTGAATTGACTCCCTCAAAGACATTAAAGTACAGCTAAAACTTCATGTGTCCATCAATAATTAATTACGTAAGATCTACTGGATTATACCATGATTCCAGAAAGGTCACTGCTGAGTCCTAACATCCTGAACCTGTAAACATGACCTTATTTGCAAACTGAGTCTTCACAAATGTCATTAAATTGAGGTTCTGCGGGTAAGAACATCTTGTACTTCAGGAAAGCCCCAAAGCCAATGGTGGGTGTACAGAAAAACATTGAGGTAGAAATGAACACAGAATCACAGGAGGAACGGAGCCAAGGAATGCGTTGAGTTACCAGCAAACACTGGGAGGGAAACCATAGTCCGGAGGGATTCTCCATTATCAGAACCTTGACACTGGACTACTGGCCCTCAACATTATTAAATAACCAACTATCGGGTTTAATTACTCATTGTCTACAGTTTGTTTCAGGAACCCTAGATATTGAACTTGCACATTCTAAGTAGTTGCTGGGAGTTATTAGTTTTTAAATGCTTCTCCATTTGTTTTTAAACTAATCTTTCTTATCACAAGGTCCCTACAAAGCAGGAGGCTTACACATCAGGGGAGGAAGGCCACCGTGGGCTGCAGAGATGTCTTGGCAGGTGAAAAGTACTCACTGCTAGCCCTGTGACTTGAGTTCTATCCCATGGCCTCTGGTGAAAGGTACTTGCTGCCAAGCCGAATGCCCCCGAGTCATCAAACTGCAGAACCCACATCACAGAAGGAGAGAACTAACTACTGCAAGGTCCTCTGACCTCCCCTGTGCACTGTGGCACACACATGCCACCCCCCCCCATACAAAACAAATAAGTAGATGTGACTTTTGAAAAAGAAGATGACAGTAGTGACCTGGTTGAAAAGCATATGTGACTTACGTCAGAAGATGACCATCCAGTCAGGTATAGTACAGGATAACCATCTGATGTCAAGTTGGGGTACGAGATTGACAGCTGAAGTTCTGGCATCGGGAAATGGCTCCTTTTCCTGATCTGTAGGGGAAAAATAGACATACAATCATTTCTTGCTCTTTCAAAAGCATCCTTTCCATGTTACATAGGACTCTGGTTCTTTTTTCCTCTTTCATGCGTGTGTGCATGTGGTATATGTGTGTGCATTTGTATATGTGTGTGCATTTGTATATGTGTGTCCACATGCATACATAAATATACATGCATGCATGCATGTGTGTGTGTGTGTGTGTGTGTGTGTGTGTGTGTGTGTGTGTGTGTGTGTGTGTGTGTGTAGACCTGAGGTTGGTATCAGGAAATTTCCTCCAGAGCTATTCTACCATTTCTTTGAGGTAGGGTTTCTTATTCAAACCCAGAACTGCCCAATACACCTAGTGTCCTTAGCTAGCTTGCTCTGGTGCCCTCCTGCCTCTGGCTGTCTCAGACAACCTGCTACAAATACAGTCAAGTTGTCGTACCCATCCAGAATTTATGTGGGATCTGGGAATCTGAACTCCAGTTGTCTTGCTTGCTTGAGAGTTACATTAAGAACTGACCATCTCCCCAGCTACCATCATCCCAGGACTGACTGACTGTCTCTCTCATTTTTTAAACCAGGGCTTACATTTCTGGGATCTGGGATAAAAAGTAATTTTGGTTCTTGTTTTGTTTGGTTTGTTTGTTTGTTTTTGAGACAGGGTTTCTCCGTGTAGCCCTAGCTATCTTGGAACTCACTCTGTAGACTAGGCTGGCCTCAAACTCAGAAATCCACTTGCCTTTGCCTCCTGAGTTCTGGGATTAAAGGCATGTGTCACCACTACCCAGTGACTTTGGCTCTTAATTGATGCTAAGTTATATAAAATTTTGAGTCATCCACATAAAGGTAGTTCGTGATGTTATGTGGGAATTGGCTTAATAAATCTCGCAAGAAAATATGAAGGCCCATCAATGGTCATATGTAGTTGCTTTTATTATATTGTTTATTCATCCTTTACTCCAGGATAATAATAGGATTAATAATATTAGGCATATAGATAATACTTAGTTGCCATCAGTTTGGACACATCAATAATAAACCCAGTCACCAACAATGTTTTGGTGTTGAGCTAAGAGAAGAAATCAAGGCACCTCCCTGTGCATCGTTCAACCAAGATGAGACAGATTTGAAATCTCTACTTTGCTCTCCCCTGTCTTCCATCATGCCCATGTGCCTGCTGGGTAAGTCTGGATCTACGCTGTTGGAATGTTGTCCTGCCTGCTTCATGTCTGTGTCCCTGTATATCGGTCCTTAAGAAGGGCTTTGCTCTCTCTTTTATTGAACATCATCGTAGAAAGCATCCCACGGGGAAGAAATGACGGACACTTCACTGACATCTTCAACAGAGTTTTACAAGCCACTGTCTCCAACTGAGACCTCATTAACAAACAAACGACAAACACTACCATGCAATATCTGCGTGTTGCTTTCAGAATTCATGGTGGATATTCATGTTATAAGCCACTTTCAGCCTATTTACAGTTTCCAGCCAATGACTATCATAACACATATGCAAGCATACATTATGCTGAGTTGGGAGCAGGAAAGAACATAACATAACATTGTAATACATTAGTTGTTGTTCACATGGGAAATCCAAGGCATGTAAGGTTGGTTATTACATTGTTCTCCTACAGGCAGGTTAAACAAACAGGCTGAGTACACAGTAGGATAGCAGTCTTAAGTGTTAGGTGACTTCAAAGTATATTATGAAATCAGGCTGAGCTGTCCAGTGAAAGTATTAGTGGGAAAAGAGGATTGAAAATTATCTTTATTATTGTTCTGTGGCCGGGTCCACTAACCTTTCCTGTGTGTGTGTGTGTGTGTGTGTGTGTGTGTGTGTGTGTGTGTGTGTGTGTTGCATACACATAAATGTCTAGATCTCCTTTACCATGTGCATGCATGTGCAGGTTAGGGGAGGTCAGGTGTAGTCCTATATCACTCTTTGCCTTATTTCTTTGAAACATGATCTCTCAGTGATCCGGAAGTTCACCATTTTGACTAGGCTGACTAGCCAGCAAGCTCTCAGTATCCATATGTCTCTGCTCCTGATGCTAGGGTAACAGGTACACACAGCCATGTCTAGGGTTTTTTTTTTTTTTTTACTTAAGTGCTGGAATCTGAAACCAGGCTCTCATGCTTGCAGAGCAAGTGTTCATACCCACGGCGGAATCTCCTAAGCCTCCATCCAAGGTTTTTGGAGGTGGAGATCATTTCCTTGATCTAGACAAGAAAAACTTAGCATGTTTTTTGATTGCTTTAACCTAGTTAATTGCAATGCCCCAAAGACACAAGTCATTTCTAACCTCAGCTAGATGGTACCTACCATCACTGTTCAGGTAAAGCCAGATATCCACTGGCTTCCTCCCAGAACTGTATAGCAAGCTAGGGATACTATCTCACTGATTATCGATAATCCAGTCTGACAAGCAGGCTGACTTCCATCGTAGTTTCTATGTGTTTTGATCCAGTAACTCAGAGTCCCCATTTAATGTCCCTGAATTGGGACCACCAGGTGCAATACGGCCCCTGGCTACCATATAGGTATAATTTCCAGGTCTCACACATTCTTAAGGGCTTCTCTGTGTATAGGAACTCTTTAATTTGCACCAACAGATGCCAGGACTGCCTAGCTAGTAAAGCAGCCTATATGGAGAGCTTTTCAGATCTGCAGTGATTCTCCATGGATGCTGGATGTTAAGTAATTCATCAACCTTGGAACGGTGGAGATTTCTGAGGCCATGCCTGGCCTCATACATGAACGTGGCCTGCAACCATCTTCAGGTAATATGCCTGGGGCTTGCCTGGCATAGCCTTTACAGCTGAATGTTACCTGCTTCTGACATTCAGTGAGGAATCATATTCTGATATTATTGTTTTTTCTTACTATGAAGCACTCTTTCTAAAAACACTGGAAAAAAACTGGAAATAAACATAAAACAAAAGGTCTCCTACCATCCAACCATCTTAGTAACACTTTTCTGGATAAAATTACTTGTCTTTATTGTTTGCATGTATTATATCATACAATTTATATCTCACATACACAAAAAGCAAAACCGTGTTTATTAAATTTATTATGCTACGTTTCCCAAAAACATAATAGTTACTTGAGAATATGACTTCTAATAGCTAAACAGCAAACACTGTGCTATCTACAACACTTGTTACCTGTGTGAAACTCACTGTGCTAATCGTATGGTTTACAGTGCTGCCTTAACTCTTAACTCTAGACTTGGGTCTCCTTATCTCTGTGTTAGCCATGAGCAGCAATGTGAAAACAATGGAAAAAAATGTTACAAGCATGTAAAACTGGTAAGTCGCAATTGTAGCTAAAATATTATAAGGTAGTATCTTCCCACAGAATATATAGCATATATATTCTCTTCACCGAATGAATGACAGTTCATGTAGGCAATCTCACAGTGTTAAGAGTTAAACATTTAAGCCTTTCATAAGAGTGCTGCTGAAAATTTTAATCATTAATAATTTTTTAAGGGAAAATTACCAGTAGTAAGTCACTAGATGTCACCTAAATATGCTGTTTTATTTTTATCCCATTAATTTAATTTTAGAATGTAAAACAGGAAAATAATCAGAGATATATAATGTTATTATCTATGTTAACATTACTTAACAGGGAGCTCCTATCTCAAACCTGGAGTCTAATAAGTTACAATGCATGAAGATCTACAACATTCAAGTTTTTTTTTCCTTTTCTTTCTTTTTGTTTGTTACGCTGCACAAGCCTAATAGTCTGAATTACACAATCATATCTGAGAACTGAGCGGGAGATTGCATTCATACCAATTTCCAAATGCAGTTTATCATTGTAATTTTAGCAGAGAAAACAAATTCCTCTCAAGAGGAACTTATTCCTCTTGAGAATATGGGAAAATTATTCCCATTTTTGTCAGAGAACTTCATTCTTCATTGCTGACAGTTCCCCCAAAAGGTTCAGACTGGCTTCATTTATGATGGCATTGTATCACTTGATGGCATATGTACATAAATCATTCATTTGAATTGAATACTCGTTTCTCCTTGAGTAACACTGAGTCTGTGAGTGTCACCCAGGCTAAAGCTCCATGACAGCCTTCTGTAGAGCTCATGCACAGTTTGCAACAAAGAATTTAAAATAAAAAAATTAATGTAGTAGAACATATCATTTAAGATGATTGCAGTGTGAACATTGGTAATTTACAGTATAATTTATATGAAAGAAAGCAATAGACAGAACAGTGACCATGACACATTGAATAAAGGGAAATATTCCCCAAAGAATTTTGAAATAATTCATTTCTGAAATTGTCATGATTCTGTGAAACACGATTTTCTTAGCCATGCTAAAACTAATGTAAAGTATATATACCTTGCATTTGTAGTAGATATTTGACACCAGAGTGATTTTTTCTTCTAGGAAGTTATTCTAGGTTACTATGTCTTACTCCAAGAAAATTAGAGACTTTGGCTTTTAAAACTGACTCAAGGTATAATTACCAGTTTGCACTTCATCTTAGCCAAAAGGCCAAGAAGTGATTTAATTATCAATTTGGACAATATATTCTGACACAGTTGAATTACAAAGAAAACTATTCTAGGATGTGGAGATTAAATGTTGAAACACTTCCTTGTTTTCTTAATACAAATAACTTATTTAGAATATTGATTTAGATATAGTTTCTTACCATGTAGAAGACATTAATTTCATTTCCAATGTCACCAGTGGAATTAATAAGTTCAGGGATAGTCTCATTGGCTGCAACTGAGATGTGGTGTTCACTTGCAGAACTTAAAAGAATTAATTGGAAAAGGAAAATAAAATTCAATAAAGTTTAAGTTTATTAGACTTTATTCTTTTCTTTCCCTATGTCACATGATTCCATGAAAATATTTGCAGAGTTCAAAATAGAGAAATCCTTTTACCTCCAAATCTCAATTAAATATTTGCAGATGCTAGGAATCACTTTACTCAGTAGGCACTGTTGCTACTTGACTCCAATAAGTTAAATTATATGTAATATTCAAAACAGAATTCCACTGTTAACAGGTGAAGAATTTCCATGAATCTGCTAGCATTTACACTTAAAGAAAAGCCAGACTAAAATTTGATATATTTAGTCATGCTGAAAGTGAAAAAACTAGTTTTTTAAAAAAACATTCACATTTACATTTATACAATTTAACAGTCCCATTACTGCTAGATGGTAAAGCTCAATCTCCCTACGAAGGTCATGATCTTTGGATGACCCTGGTAGAACATAAGATCTCCCCTTGAAGCAGCATTTCAGGCAAGAAAAGACAAACACAAGGAATGTATAAATGTGTGCCAAAAGTCGATTTGAATTAAGTAGAAAGTTATTGGGGCAATCTTTGTGCTGAAAGAAGTGGACACAGCAAATCAGACAAGAGACAACAGACTTCAAAGGCTAAGGAAGATGAGCATGTCTATGCCTACCTTATAACCCTTGCTTTCTGATCTCTCTTTAGCAAAGAGAAAGTGCCACAAGACACAAACAAAACAGAAGGGTGTTATACTCAGCTGGCCTTGAAACTGGCTCTCGTATTTTTATAGGTACTGCGCATATTTATTCTAAAAAGCTTGGAATTCTGCTCCAGTAAGGGAATTCATAAGCAAGGGACTCTGTAGAGTGGAAGTCTACTAACATGATTGGCACACGAAGAGAAAATCAGGTCTGAACAGAAAGAACGGTTTCCAAATAGTGGAAGGAATAAATGGCTGACCAATGAGAAATGCATGACAGAATGGGCAGTGGATCTCATCCCACAGGATGAAAACAGTGACCCAGGAATATCCCGCCGACCTGTCAGAAAACATTGCATTTTCTCAAGGACTTTGACTTACATTTAGGAGCAAAGACCTGTCATTAGCACATTTTATGTTGGTATTTAGTGCACACAGATTCTCAAATTTTCAGGTGCACGTGGATTATATGGAAGACATTTAATATGGATGCCAGGTCTGGCTTGGCCCTGGAGTACCTACTACTTTAAGTTCTTGAATGGTGATTCTCTCAGCCAAAGGCCACACTAGGAAAAACATTTGATGATCAGAAAGCTGTCAATGAATAAAGGTGGCTTCATCCTACCTGTGAAACTGTAGTCCAACTTCATATTTTACTGGGATGGAAATATTTACTTCATTATCATAAAGAGATTCGGGTGGTTCTTCACTGTCACTGGAAAACACAGCACATTCACACTAGGCATTAAATTTGCTTATCCACAGACCATCTCTAACCATTTGAAAGAGAAGATTATATAGGAAAATTAATAAAACACAAAAATCATAGAATTCTCTGTTTGTCTTTATTGAGAGGAGAAGGAAGTGTAGAGATCGGTATTATTCATGCTCCCAAATAGATTACACTGTAGAGTTAGAATTGAAAACCACAGGTCCTTGTTTATCCAAATCATGTGAAATAATTAGAATCTGCTTGCTTAATCATTAAAATGTTGAGATTGCTGGATTTCTGTGCATAAAGATATGGATACAAATCACCTCCGTTTATATTTATCACATACAAGGACCATGTACAGACTCAACTAGTCTCATACAGCTAATTATGAATCTAAAATCTGATTTTGCCTTTCATAGTCTTTCCAAACAGAGTACTCAGTATGTATGTTATTTAAATGTTTATGTATTTCCTTGATTTGGGGTATAATTTTCATAATATTTGAAAATTTAATTATATTTTTACACACATATACATTATATACAAATATACCTCACACTCATGAACAAAGCATGGAGGAGATATATAATTTTATGACCAGATATAGGGAATGAGGTTGTTTTTTAACACTGGTACCTTTATATTGTAATACCGGATTACAATATACCAGAGATTTTTTTTTTTCTCACATAATATATCCTGGTTATGGTTTCTTCTCCCTGACTCCTAGTTCTTCCTCATCTCCCTTCATGTTTGGATCCCTTTCTGTCTCTCATTATAAAACAAAATTTTCTAAGGGATAATAATAAAATAAAAGATAAAATAAAAATTAGCACATTACAGTTGGACAAAACAAACAAACAGAAGGAAAAGCCCAGGAGAAGGCACAAGAATCAGAGACCCACTCATTTGCGCCCTCAGGAACCCCATGAAAACACTAAACTGGTGCACTGAGGGCATGGTACAGACCAATGCGGCCCCTGTGCAGGCTGCCTCAATCTCTGTGAGATCATATGAACTTTGCTCATGTTGATTTAGAGAGCTCTGCTTTTTTTTGCATGTGTTTTATGATAATGTTGAGAAGTTTTGGAAGTATGGAAGGGTATCATCAAGTTTTAAGTCCATGTGATGACTCAATTGACCTTGGTAGACAGATAGTAAACGTTTTTAAATTAGTAGATCCTGTTGATCATAAATGCAATTTGGCAGATATAAGTGATGTGTAATTACAAGATAGACTACAGTTAATATTAACAATGATTTAATCCAATAGATTAAATTTTTTGCTTTGAATATGAATTCCTCTACTCTTGCTAATTACTCCCAAGGCATTTTTTTGTGAGGCAAAGTGGTTCATGGACTGTTACTTCTGCTGATCTTATACAAGCTTCAAGAAGCTGCCAATGATTCTACAAAGCAAAATAATCAAATTACACAAAAGTAATGATATGCACACATACATGTGTATCCACACATACATAAACCAACCTTGTTGCACTTAAATGAATGATTGCATTTTCTGTGAGATGTGATGTATTAAACTGGAATATTATTTTGAAGGTTACCTAAAAAATTAAAATAGACATCTTAAATAACAGATGAGGAAAACATCAACTTTGAAAAAAATTTAGTTTATATAGATTCATTACCTAGACAGAAATTATAAAATTACTTAAGAAATATTGTCTTACAAAATACAGCCCCATCATAAATACATACAAAAAGATACAATACACACATACACTTCTAAATGTGAATATGTAATATGCTTTGTATATTGTTATAGTCTGAATACTTTATTCCATTTAAAGTTTATATGTTCAAGCTTAGTTATCAATGTTATGATACTAGGGGGTGGGTCCTTTTGTCAGGTAACAGTTCACGAGCATCGGCATGAGTGGGATTAATGCCCTTACGATCGAGGTACCAGAAGATGACTTTCCTTTTCACTCCCTGAGGACACAGGGAGAAGACATCTTTGAATCAAAATATCCTCTTTGGACAATGGGCTTAACATTGTCTTGATCTTGGACTTTTCAGTTTCCATATTTATGAGAAATAGATTTCTCATTCATGTGCTACTCTATTCCTGCTAATTTTTATAGCAGTCTGAATGCACATGGTAACACTGAATTTAATACCATATTCAAGTTATAGTAACAAAAAGCATTTATGCAAACCACAAATCAAGAAGAATCATTCTACTTATTTTATTACCATAATTTGCCAAATAACAGTAATGAACATATTTGTGGCATGTTAATAATTAAAGTCTCTTTAATACACATGCTAGCCACCATTATAAAACAGGGAAAACATACTTGATTTGTTAATTTGATAGTGTAATTTTTTTTACCACTGTTGAGTAATTCAAGAAGATAATCCAAAATGGCTTAGCTCTTAGAATAAAGTATTATGAAAAAACATTGTTTTGTAAGAGTTTGCATACTTAAAACACTATTGAAGAAAACATAGAAAGTGTTCTGCTGTACAAATATCATATATAGACAGCTCTTTTTTTTTTTTTTTTTTTTTGGTTTTTCGAGACAGGGTTTCTCTGTGTAGTTTTGTGCCTTTCCTGGAACTCACTTGGTAGCCCAGGCTGGCCTCGAACTCACAGAGATCTGCCGGCCTCTGCCTCCCGAGTGCTGGGATTAAAGGCGTGCGCCACCACCGCCCGGCCAGACAGCTTCTTTTGAGAAGCTCTGCCTCTACACAGGGCTTTATGTGAACACCAACAGTCACATGAAAATGTAAGTTATTTAAAACAAAAATCACCTGCATGTTCGTGCCCAATGATCTCATCATAATTCTTTTTTTTTTTTTTTTTTAATTTTTTATTTTTCGGGACAGGGTTTCTCTGTGTAGTTTTGCGCCTTTTCCTAGAACTCACTTTGTAGACCAGGCTGGCCTCGAACTCACAGAGATCCACCTGCCTCTGCCTCCCGAGTGCTGGGATTAAAGGCATGCGCCACCACCGCCCGGCTAATTCTTATGAATTATATATCTCAATCTCAGAACTAATCTCATTTGGTGCTAATTGAAGTATTTAAAATTCAGGCCAGAAAAACATTCCAGAAATACCTAACTAATTGAAACCACTTATAATTATATCTTTATGATAAATATTACATGGAAAAGTTGTGACATTTATAGCTTGTGAACAATTGGCACCATTCACAGATAGAGTGGGGCCATGAGATTAGCATGGTTGTATCAATGTATGTATAGAATTTTCTTCCCTCCCATATATAATCTTAATTTACATTTAAAAAGAAGAAAACAAGTTCTTTTAAGAAAGATGGTTTTTCTCTTGCGTTGGAGTACTGATCTCCATTCTAGTAAAGGGACATTTATTGGATGGATCTTCCCTGTCTCTCCTTAACCTCCACAACTAGTCTGGCCACTTGAGTCTTGGTGTTCTCCATGGCCTTTTTATCTACAGGAAGGTACTGGCAGAGAAGCAGGTCTGAGGAAGATGTTTACTGCATATTCACATGAACCTGAAATACTTGAACTGAAAGTCTATATCTTGAGCCCAAGAGTATTCTAAGTGTGAAATCCAAGTTGGAATTGCTTGCAAATTCCTCCCATCACCCTTTGTATAACCTAAGAGATATTTTGGTATAAGCTTTTAGCACAAGCACAAGGGACTGCTGGATAGAGAAAGAAATATTTGAGTTCAATGCCTTCCTTAAATGGTGCAGGGTAACTGGATATTCACATGCAAAATGCGTAAGTTGGACTCTTTCAATACACATAACCTAGGAGTTCTTTCACATGGATCACAGACCTAAGTGCAAGCCAAAAAAATCATAAAATTCTTGGAAAAAGAAAACCTAAAAATTTCAAATCACATATCTGGTAGGAGGCTTGAATGCAGACTATTTAAAGAACTCTTACAATTTAATTGTACAAAAGACAGTCTAATTTAAAAACAGGTACAGAATGGGACATGGTGGCTTAGGAGGCAGAGGCAGGAGGATTGCTGAGAGTTCACGACATCCTGGGCTACAACATAAGTTTAGGGCTAGCCTGGGCTTCAAAGTGAGACCCTGTTTCAATAAAAAAAGTATTGTAGCAGATAGTTCTCCAAAGACAGTGGGTGTGTGCATGTGTACATGTGTGCGTGCGTGCGTGCGTGCGTGTGTGTGTGTGTGTGTGTGTGTGTGTGCAATGAAAAGTTACTAAAAACTTCACTATTTGTTGCTAGGGAAATGCAAATCCAAGTTACAATAAAACGTTGCTTCACATCCGCCAGGACGATGATAATAATGATAATAATAATAATATAATGTGGAGAAATTAGAGCTCTCATTCACCGCTGGCAGGAATGTAAAGTGGTACATCTGTTTATCTACTATAGATTCGGCCTTTGTGTTTGAATGTGACTTGTGAAACACTTTTGATGATGTCTTCGTCTTCTTGAGCTTCTATAGCGATATAATTTAGGACTGTAAACTTAAGCAATTCATAAACACTGGAGGCTTCCTACTCATAGCTCTAGAGTCTGGGAACTCCAGGACGAAAGCACCAAGACTGGAGTGCAATGGTGGCCTGTTGTGGAGATACTGTGCCTCATGTGGTAGATGGGACAAACAAGTCTCTTGAGCCTCTTTTGTGAAGCCACAAGTCCCAAAGGCACCACCTCCTAATGCTGTCAAATTGGGGATTAAATTGCAGTGTACCAATTTTACAGAGACGTGAAAACCATACCTTAGCAGCTATGAAGCTGCAAGCATTTTGCACGCAGTGCTCCTAGCCTATATTGTCACAAATTACCCATTAGAAAGATTTACATTTGTCATTGAGCATATTACTTCCCCCTGGCAAGGGCTACTTATATTTTACCCAGCCTCCTTACCATTTCTCCTGTCCTCAGGAAAGGATATCCAACTCTACATGTGATATTTCGATTGGATTCACAACTATCTTTTTGGATCCCCTAAAGTGGAAAATAAATGGAATTAGAGAAGAAACACAAGTGAAGTATTAATTAATCATTTGAGAATTTTCCCAGCTATGCATTCGCAGCTGACCTGCAAAGATTTGTCTCTTGGTTTAGCTGGGGGAGTCACAGCATGAGAGGACTGCCAGTTCCATAGCTCACGGAGATCTGAAACCATCACTTGAGGGCTTCTGAGGGACAAAGCACACCTTTCTCTGGCAGGAGTGGTCAGGGGTAATGGAGCACCAACAGCACCAATGGACAGTAAACTGCAGGGGCAGGTGCCTAGGTCACACATCTGCACCATTAGAGCATCCCACAGGTGCAGGAGTTTGGAGTCCTGAGCAAGAACAAGGCTCTAACTTGCAACTACCAGGACCCAGCTCCTTACTCCACCCAGCATATAACACAACTAAAGAAAAAGTGGCTGTATTACAAGGTCAAGGACCTCCTTAAATTAACAGCCATGCACTATGGGTATTCTTTCTGCTCTCTGCCATGTCCAGAGCTGTGCACTATGGGTATTCCTGCCTGTCTGCTGTGGCCAGAAAGCTAGCTGGAGTGGATACAGGCAATGTCTTTTAACGTAGTTCCCTTTCCAGGCACAGCCCAGTGACAACAGATGTTTCTCCACGTTACATTTATGTGCTGCATTTCTACAATTATTTCATATTCGTAATTAAAATTCTGAAAACAAAATGTTATAATAACAAATGACCCATATATGAGCCTATCTTAGTTACCATATCCCCATATGATATCAGAACAAATAGAGTGAAATGACAGTAGCAATTTAAATTTGTGGGAACTAGACAACAATTTTTAATGCTATACATTAATATGTGTGTATATCATAGTGCTGGGGATTTAACCCAGGGTTTCATGTATGCCAAACAAGTTCTCCATTATTTTACTACGTCCCTAGACCTACAGGTATTGGTTTTTAATATAAATGAAATATTCACATTAGCATTATTCATTTTAATGTGAATCAAAATACCTTAAATTTATTCATGTAAATATATACAGATTTTTAACATGGGGGATACACTTGGAATCCAAATCAAAAGCTAAGTTCAAATTTGTAAATACTGACAAATGATCCAGTATCCTATGCAGGGGGTTATTGTCAAGTTAATAAAATGTCTGATACACAGATAGGCTATTGCCAAGATGAACCCTTTCATTATAAAATTATAAATGAGTAAGACTTGTCATCGAACAGAAATCTTTGGCTAAAGTAAGAAATCTTTAGCTCAAATTTTTTCACAGGAAGAAACAGTATCTTGATTTTTTTTTTTCCCCGATGGAAACTTCTTTCAGCACCTGAACGTCTCCCCGCATCTTTGATTATTATACATTTTACTCGGCTGAACCTCAATTTCAGTTGATGACTCTATGAAACATAGAAATTTTGAATTGGAAACTGTCTTTCTTAAATACTTAAAATATAAAATAAGAAGAGATATGCCTCTCCAAATAAATAAACAAAAGCTTGGTGGGGGTGAAAGACGAGAGATGGCCCAGTGGTTAAGAGCACTACTTGCTCTAGGTTGCTCTTCCAGAAGACTCAAATTTGATTCCAAGCACCCAAGGGCAGCTCACAATGGTCTGTTACTAGAGTTCATGGATCCAATGTCCTCTTTTGACCTCTGTGGTAGCAGGCACCAGGCAGACATATGTATAGGCAAAATACCCATATATATAAAATAAAATAACAAAAGGTTTTAAATACCTTAAAAGCTTGCATCTATGACCATTAGTGTATTCTAATACTTAACAAAAATACCTTCTACTCTTCTCAAATCAATGTTATGAAATTAATTAGCTCAGTAGCATGAAAAATAGGTTCAATAAATAATCATTAAGAGGATGAATGAAAAACAGTGAGTTTACCTCAATTCCTGAAAAAATCAGATTTGGGGAATACTGCACTATTGTCCTGGTATTGTAGGCACTGTCTCTTTTGTTTCTCACTGTGAGGCTGAGATTGAACTTGTCATTCTGGGACCTGACAATCAGCAGGCTCCTTTCTGTGGTGGACACGTCCAGGGTGAGGTCGGAGATGCATTTTTCCTTGTTTCCACAGTCTTTGGCAAAGGGAATCTGAAATGGCCACAGGAACATAGTTTTCATGGTGTAGTTTAAACATCACTGAAAAACGCCTATTAGTTTGTGCAACAGAAATGGCATGGGACCCAAGTAAGAGAGAGCTCAACAAAGAAATTGACTGCATTGCTGAGATCTTAAGAGATTTTACATTTACTGCTGACTTTATGGGAGAAAGAATAAATGTCAACTTGTAGTCTTAATTTCCCAGTCCTTTAAAGGAGGTAGATTTCATAAGTATTTTACTAATATCTGTTTCCCAATGAAGGACAGTTTCTAAACCTCAAGTCAAGAACTCTAAGATCTAAATCTGCACAACTTCATTTATATAATTTCCTACAAAAAGAATGAGATACTGAGGAACCCTGTCAAGGGGCAGCAAAATGGTCCAGCCATGTAGCTGGAAACTTGATTCTTCTTTATGAAGTTCTTCTTATCCAGTCTATCCTCATGCATGTCCTTCCTAACCTCCTCTCCATATCTTCCAAGTCCCCTGTCACCTCTCCGTCTTCTTCTGTTAAAGCAGCCTGTCCACGGCCATTCAGTACCCATTTGTTTCCCTTCAGTCACTTAACATGTTGTGGCAGTTGTAGTTTTAAACAGCACTCATCTGGCACCCACAGTGCTAAATTAAAACAGTCAGCAGCACTGCACTGTCCTTTAAAATGTCTATAATCTGGGTAGTCACACCAAACCCCAGAAGATCTCACGCTGGCCTGTGAATCAAGGCATATGCTGTTATCACCTTCACCTGTGTGCTTTGGTTTTGGCTACAGTAGTGAGTATTTTAAGCCCCTGCCATGGCTCAGCATCTTCACACCTACTGTTATCCACCCACACTTCGAACAGGGTGGAAAATCACCCAGTCTTTCAGGGCTTGACTTAAAAGCCACAACTATGTGGGGGCTTTCTCTGACTCCCCAGAGTAGGTAGGAATTGTTGCAAAATCTGAAATTCTTCACAGCACAGCATTTAATTACTGCTGACAGCCCAATTCCTAGGTGAGACTGAGCTCCACGTTTGGTGCATGTAGGATGATAGACACATCTGGAAGGTTGGAGGGGGAGATTGGGAGGTGGATGAATGAAAAAAATGAATTTTCTGTCTCTATAGCTTTTCTCCCTTGTGGCCGTTCCTGTGACACTCTTTCCCTCTCTGTCCCCTCAGCCACTCTTGGATGTGTGTCAGTGAACTTTGGGAATGGAACGGAGGTGGCACAGCTTGGTCTCTCCCCATCTCTTCTGTTCTTGGGGCAGCGTTGTGCCCACAGGAAGCCCATGTGCTGCTCTGCTCCTATGTCACAGCTGTGGTGGTTTGAGTGAAAATGGCTTCCATGGGCTCCCATAGTTGAATATTTGCTCCTCAGTTGGTGGAACTGTTTGAGCTAGATCAGGAGGTGTGGCCTTGTTGGAGTAGGTGTGGCCTTGGTGGAAGAGGTTTGTCATTGGAAGTGGGCTTTGAGGTTTCAAAAGCCCAAGCCAAGCCCAGTCTCTGTGTCTGTGTCTGTCTCTCTGTCTCTGTCTCTCTCTGCCTGCTTCCTGCAGATCAGGATTGAAAATGCTCCAGTGCCATGCCTGTCTGTTTCTCAACATGATGATCTTAGATTAACCCTCCCTCTAACACTGTAAGCAAGTCCCCAGTTGAATGTTTTCTAAGAGTTTCTTGGTCATGACGTCACTTCATAGCAATAGAACAGTGACTAAGACACAAGCTTTTACACCACAGGCCTCCACCAGGAAGGCCAGAGATGAATCCACACTGCTGACTAATGGTTAGCTGTGGTCCAAGTATGAGGTCCAGTTTGAGTGTATCATTATCCCGAAACTGTGTCTCATCACTTAGTGCTTATTAGGACAAATGCCTTTTTTCAATTGTTTATTTACAGTTCTCTTAAACCCCAGCAAGAGGAAGTTCTAGGGAATGGGTGAAGTCTAGAATTGCCCAATTCTCTCTCTGTCTCTCTCCTCCTCCCTCACACAATTGATTTAAATTATGTGTTGATGTGTTTTTAGCTTTTCTAATACATTCACAAACAGACATCATAAGTTAATCTTACGTGTTCGTGGACTGAGTTTGGCAGAGCGTCATCAAGCACAGGGCCATTTTCTGGATCCGTAAGATTAAAATCCAAAGTCACTCTCACGGAGTCCTGGAAGTCATGCTTGTCCTACAAGTTGAAACATAAGTATTTGTCACCGGTGCCATATTTGTTGGATGTTAGCACTCTGTTGCAGCATCCCTTCTGACCTGCGGTTTACTGGAACATTCCTGCTCACCTACTCTGACATCACACCTCAGGAGGCCTTTGCTTCGCTGAAGTAGTGTAGCTTTTCTGTTTTGACAAGGGTTGTGGCTGGAAAGTGGTAGCTCCAGAATGACAGGTAAACCCCTCAGAGCTCCACAGAGGGACTTGCCAGAGTCCTGGATATACCATACTGAGCTGCACGGTAAAAACATTGTTTTTCTTGAGATCCATGCCAGTAGCAGCTTCTGGGAAAGTGTCTCCCTCATGTTAGGAAGGCAGATTCTTTCAATGCAGCTGTAGTGCGCTCATAGACATCTAAACCTATGGAATTTGCGCTGCATACTGATACAGAAATGATGTGAATGGGATTAATGTTTTCCATTTCAGTAAGAACCATTGTTTTCGGTGTCAAAAACAAGGATCTTTGTACACATTGTTGTGAACTGTCTCAGTAGACCTCTGAGGTGGGTAGCTATGATGAGTCTTACTTATTTTTTTTTTTTTTTTGGATTTTTCAAGACAGGGTGTAACAGTCCTAGCTGTTCTGGAACTCACTGTGTAGACCAGGCTAGCCTTGAACTCACGGAGATTCACCTGCCTCTGACTCCTGAGTGCTGGGATTAAAGGTGTGTGCCACCACCACCACCACCACCACCACCACCACCACCACCACCACCCAGCCTGATGATTCTTATTTTATGCAGAGCCTCTGAGACTGAATGACTTGCCCACAGTCATTCAGAACGCAAGACAGCTGAGATATAAACCATATCCCATTCAGCTCTAGAGCAAATATTAAAATAGCTAACATAATTCAAAGGATTTTATGTTTGAAACTAGTTCATTGCTTTTATTGTTGGTCCTTGAACAGAGCTCATGCTCTGACCTTGTACATATACAGTCACTGTCAGAAGCAATTGCTGATCGAATTTCATATAAGTTCTAGCTTGTCGGTTCTCAGTTCTGAATAACTAAGGAGGGGCAACTCTACACACACACACACACACACACACACACACACACACACACACACAATCCTCTCAATCTGGAAGAAGGCAGCTGTAATACACGATTTACTTGCCAACATGTAGAAGGAGTGCCTAGTGCATTCTGATTCTCGAACTGTGATGTTTCTTTGAACCTTTCTTTCCTGAGTTCCAGAGAAAAAACTCCGTGATATCTGTCTCATTGAATCGAGGGTGACACGATACTGCAAATCTACGAACACATGAAGGAACATTTGACAGACACGTTTATCTAGGGATGACTCTCACATGACCCCATTCCAATTAACATTACAGAAAAATCTCTTGAGCAAATGAATCGATAAATGGTCCTACACTGAGAATATCTGTATTGCTACAACACAGAGATAGAAGCAGTCATGACATAACCTTGAAAGTCTACAGAATGGCTTTCTGACTTGACCATGCATTTAACATTTAAGTTATAATTATGTGTAATGTATGTGTGCACACACACCCTCATATAAACATATATGTGAACTATGATTTATCAACCAAGTCTGAATTTACTAAACTTTTGTTCAAAATAATTTTTTAGAGCTTAGAAATACTGGCAAAGACAAAAATAAACAAAGACCATTTTCACCTTTTTGTAGAAATGTGCCAACTTAGATGATGTCCAAAACATGAAATTCCACAAAATAAGCCCTCATAGATTTGATCCCAACATATTTCAGCACCATTGAAGACTGCCTTAGAAAGTTCAGAGCATAAAGCTGAGGGGACACACAGATTGACTCTAAACACCCGAGGGCCACACACAGAATATGTGTGGCTGAACACAGGAGCCTCATCTCAGTGAGAAAACAGCCTTGGGCCGGGTGTCAAGTAGTCAGGTCATCTGCAATACCAGTCTTCCCCAGCAGGGGGCAGGAGAGGGGAGAAGATTCTTTTTCAAAAAATCTTTCCTAGATCTTTTTAAATGCTCCCTGTGAGAATGTATATAATATAAATATATGGGGAGGCATAGGTAAGTACGGAATCTTTAGGTCATTGCATTCAAGCATGTAATTTCTGCTGTAGAATTTACTAGGTTCCATAATTGTTCCTCCTGGAGCAGGAGTGGTTTCCGGGGTCAACAGGCTCACAGTGGGCAAATGTTTTGAACAGTGAATTATACTTGGGAGAGGTCATCATCCTGGAACCCATACACTTTCTTCTGCCCGAAAGTACTTGCTACCATCATGATGCTTACCAGCTTCGTAAACTGAGTCTTCTTTAGACTTTAATTTCACATAAAAACATATTGTAGCATTTATGCATACTGTTTCTTTTCCCTCCACACGGCAGTTTTTCTTTTGAATATTCACTTTGTTGGGTTCAAAATTCATGGTCACTTTAACTACGGCCACATCTCTGGCCCTGCAAACACATAAACAATGGGATTACTCACACATTGTTGCATTTAACTGGGTAGGGTAATGTGGGTGCTTCAAAGGACACTCTCCTTTGTGGACTGTGTGTGCTTTTAGGACTACTGCTCTTTAATGGTTATTTGATACATAAAAGATTGTATCTCATGTCCTAGGAGACCTTCGTTGTTTAGAACCATCTTAGACATTTCGTTCAAAGACAGAAGACTTAAAATGGAACCAATTGGCCAGATGCAAGCTCAGAATCAAAATGGTATTTGGGGATCTCTCTGAGTTTGTTTCCAATTTGGAAATGATTCAAAGGCACCTAGAAAACTAACTGCCTCCTGCTGGCTTTCATCAAAACTATAACACTTCTCTGTTCTTGAGGAGGTAGCCTTGCTGTTGTTTCTTGGAAGAAGAAGTATGTTTGAGACACTGTGAGTGTATGCTGTTTCATGTAACTCCCAAGTTAGCTTTAATCATCAGAAATGCTGCAGTGCCCAGTCCTTAACCATGGCTTCGCTTCCCACAGTTTCAGTTATCCATGGATAGGTAGCCTGGGTGCAAAAATATTAAACAGAAAACTCCAGGAAGAAAATAATCATGTTTTAAGTTAGGCACTGTTCCAAGAAGCATGATAAAAATCTGTAATTTTTCCATTGTATGCCTGGGCTGTGAACCATCTCCATCCCCAGTCCAGAGTATCCACCTTTACATTTTAATTGCATTTTAATTAAGTGACCTATACCAGCAAAGGCATATATCATGTTGTATTTATTCGTCTTTCACTAGATTTTTAGCTTTCTTTTCTGTGTTTTTTTTTTTTTTCTTTCCTTGTGTGCCTGTATGTGCATGTGGAGAACAGAGGTTCATGTTAGGTTTCTTCCTCTATCAACCTCAATCTTTCTTTGTTTAAAACAGTCTTTCTCTGAACATAGAGCTCACTGATGCAGCTAGGCTACTTGGCCCGCAGACCTGGGAGATTCTTGTTTGCCCACCCCTCCTGTACCAGGGTTCCATGTGTTGTCATGCCTTTTTATGTGGGTGGTGTGAATGAGAATTCCTGGAAAGAAGCTGTGTCTGCAACCGTCTGATTAGAATTGTGGTGGTGTGGAAAAGCTGCCATGGTACAGGTCCGAAGCCAAATTATCTTATCTTGGCCTAGTTTTAACCCCCTGGATTCCTCGTCCAACTCCGTGTCAGAACTCACATCCTGTAACTAATAGACAAAAACCCTTTTGGGATCTATCAACTTAGCAGATCACTAGCTTCAAACTAACACAAAGGGTAGGAATGTCGTCAGATAACATCTGAGAAATATAGAAAAGATTTCCTCAGTTTTCTGTCGCTGTCACTCCGATGTATCTACCAAACATTTGAAAATGGTCCCAATTTATGAATTTCTTTATTCTGTTACTGTAAAATGCCACAAAACTGTTTCTACACAGGAACATTATATCAGGGGAGACTTAAATGACTTGAATATATGTTCCCAAGACACGATACGGTCATTCATATTTGCTTAAGAATAAATCATGCCATTTATTCCTGTAAGATAAGAGTTGTTTCTTTCAGTGACAGTGGTAGGAATCCAAAGTCAAGCTCTCATGCTTGTGTGGGAGGCTTTCCTGGTGGTGCCATCTCCCTAGCCCATCCTGTCATATTAGGAAGTGGTTATTGCATATAGTTCTCTGCTGGTTCTAAAGATCACACATTTTAAGGAATATTTATTTCTACACTATACCTTAAAATTGTTTTAGGAAGCAAATTGCTTTAATAAGCAAGGCTATCTTAAGATTTTTGAAATGTTTATTGACAAACACTTGGTGAGTTTTAGTTAGTTTACTCCTTGCCAGCAATGAATGGGCATGTCTGGTTTCTTTTGGGGTGATATGGGTTCTCCAGACAGGCTTGACTAATGTCTACCCGACTCATCCTTTCTTTCCCAACTATATCTTTATGGAAGCATGGGTGTGTGGTCCACATAACTGGGCTCTTGCTATCTGCTCATTGACAGCATCTGCTTAGTCACCTGCCTTCTGTATCCTGTTGCAGTCCCGCCTCCTGCATGGCAAAACCCTTGGTCCTTATGATGCACTATCTGAGTCTATGTGTTCTGCTGGCAATGAAGCCTGGCCAGGAAAGGGTCATCATCCATTTCTGTGATTCAGATAAACTAACAAAATCAGTTGTCTCTAAAAACTTGAACAATTCAGAGTGAGGAATATTTTCTTATTTACACATATCTTCTAAAGACACTACCCACACAACTTCCCCCAGAAGAGAACATTTGTTTTAGTGTCAAGTGCATAATTGAGAACCAAATTAAGAGTTCATTCTACCTACTCCTATTCAGCTTCCTTGTTCTTAAGATTCACTGACGCATCAATCCATTGAATAACTTGCATCTTGCCAGCACATCATGACAGGAAATAGACACTTGATATGGCAAGAGTTCTAATCATACTATGTGGTCTGGAATCATATGGGAAATACTGCCAAATGTATATCCAGATGTTATAACATACATACCAGAAGAGGGCAGCTCCACCAAGACCTCCAATGGTCACATCAGTCAGACCATCGCCATTTAAATCCATCTCTCCATGGATAGACTGGCCAAAAAATTTCAGTGTCTTGCCATCCCCACCTGATGGAATACGCTGTGAAAATCCCAACAGACAGGTTGATGTCAGAAGAGTCCATGTAAAATAGTTTTGAATAAATCTGTGAGTTTGGATTAGTGAATAAAGCTAAATGATCTTTTGGGGACTGAGAGGGCTCTGAGTAGAAGCAAGAGGAAATCCTGAGATATTCCCAAAGGAAATCGTTCTTCCTATGGTACAGACTGTCAGGTCAGGGTTAGTGACTTAGAGAGAGGGGAAATTGATATATAATGTCATTTTTGTCTAATGCTCAAGAGGAATCTGAGCAACAGGCTTTATTTGACTTCTTTTTCAATTCTAATGAACAGGTATATTCAAAGGTACTAGAAACTCTGGAGACACATCATATAGGCAAGAGGAAGAACAGATGACTGCACAGGACAATTAAAAAAATGTCCTAAACACTCTTCTCCGCTCACCTCCAGCCCTAATGTGAGGAGAGCACTGTGAAGATGGGGTTCTTGAAGCCTCATCCATGTACCGATGTACCTCACCTTACACAGAAAGTGATCTTCCTATGCTCCGTCGCTTAGTGTTTGTCCAAGCAGATACTATTTTAATAGAACCTGTTGGCAAGGAGACAGGACTAACAGACCCTTCCTAAACTTCGGATATTCTTTTCCTTCTTGATTCCTTTTAAGTAACAAAAAGGAAGAAGTCAAACTGGAAAAGGTGGTGTGGAAATACCATATGTCCCCTTGACAAATTATTCCCATAATTTTTCGGCACCCCAATCAGGAGATATGCGCCTCATTAGCTCTGAAGGAGCTGATACTGCTTGATTCTGGGTCATGCTGCGTTCCTGGAAATGGGTAAGTACATCCTCATCTGTTCCCTGGGAAAGCACTTTCCACTAAAAAAAAAACAATTGAACTCAAATACTGTTTTGTTGATTTTGTTTAAAGCTGCATATTGATTTATCACTACTTAAAAAAAGGCATTACATATGACAATTTATTCCATTAAACAATTAAAAATCTTTCTTTGCTCCAAATGCTATTCAAGATTCATCCTGAAAGAACAAAGCAACAAAATACAAGAAACCTCTTTGTGTGTATTTCCTGGTTCCCCAATGCCCCACTGGTTAATGCCCCAATGCCTGCCACTAGTTGAGTGTATAATCCCACAAAGATTTTTAAGAGAAACAAATCATTTGTCAAATGGACTGGAGCGTTGTTACTTATATGAGCCTTTTATTTTGGTCACCAGTAATGTCATTATAACTTTATAAAAAGTTAACAAAATATTACATGAGTAGGTTTTGAGAATTCTGTTAACTACTGAATAAAAGAGACCACTAAAATGTAAAAAGAAATAGCTAATGTCTAGATTCTCTTCATGGCTTAGATGCTAGAGAGTGTTGATGTAAGTGTTGAATTATAAGCTATTTATTCATAATAGCTCATTGCTGACTACAATTATATAGAAACTTCCCATTATGTTACAACTTCTCTAAACTCTCCTGTGTTTATGATGCATTAAACATTTATGTGAGTGAATATTTTTCTCATGTAATAAGAAATTAAATTTATAGATTAGGTCAATGAATGTAAAACTGCTTAACTACCAATAAATTTAAACAAGAACAACAGAAATCCCCTGAAGGTCAAGATTAATCATTCATATTTTTTTCCCAGAATTACTTGAGAAAAAAATCGTAAACCTCAGAAAACAATATTAATTTGATTAAAATATATAATATTAATTCATGATTATAAATTTAATGTCATTTTGTTTAATAACAATATGGGCACTGAATTAAAAAAAAACACAATCTCATCTCCAATACTGACTATATCAAATTATTATTGCCCTCTTACTCTTTGGGGTTAAACATGTTGTAGATGTCAAGGAACATTATTACCAGGTGGTCTGGTTTTCTATTTTTTTTACCATTTCAAATGATCAGGTCCATGAAGACAGACAATAATAATCACAGAAAAATAACTAGATAATGGTATAAAACACTAGCTAATTCTTAAGAAAGAACACAGGAGACACTCTTATGTAGTTTCCCAGGAGAGTCAGAATAAAGAAAAGAACAAAGTAAGTTATGAGTTGTAGAGAAAGGCAGCTGAGACCACTGGGCGTGGAAGGGTGAGAGCCTGTGGGAAACTGTGTCTTACTTGTGCGTACTCCTTCCTTATGGTCTTATCACTGCCATGATAAATGTAGACAGCTCCCGCATGGTCATCCTCCAGCGGAGCTCCGATCACGATGTCATTAAATCCATCCACGTTGAGGTCTTTTACAGCAGCAATTGCTGTTCCAAATCGGGCCCCACAGGGCTCATTCTTGTTTTCTTTTGTGCATGAATTATCCTTCAGAGATGAACAGCACGTTTGCTTAATTGGTTCCAGGCTCATTTGATATTCAAACCTTGTCTGGAGGGAAGACAAACAGAATACTTAAGAGGTCCCAACACTGCTCCAGAGGAGCAGGTTTGTTTTTAAGAGCATGCTAAACCAGCTTTATGAAATAACCATTAGCATACCAACAGCAAACCTGTACGATATATGAAGAAGTAGGGAAGCCAAAGGAGCCTCGGGGGCAAGCATGCTGAGAATTCCAACAGGCTCTTCTTAATGAAGCTAAGGATATAATTAGTAGCATGTTTTTGACTCATTAAAGAACTGTAAATGAAATCCTCCATTGTGGTCCCAGCCCTGATTTCCTGACAGTGTGCTTCTTGGCCAAGACTCTGTCTATTCTCCACTGAAGACCATTACAAAATTTACTCTGCTCAAAAGCAAACCTTTGACAGCTGCCTGGAGTGGAGGGAACCATAGACAATGCTAAGAAAGAACACACTTTTTTGGAAAAAGAGGGAGTGACAGAAAGAGGAGGGGAGAACACATAGGTTCTTTCCCCCAAATACACAGGAGAAAGCCAAGAAAAAGATAGAAGGAAAGGTAAGTAATTTGGTATTTAAAATAATTAGTATCAGAGAAAAATAAGAATTAAAAACAATAACAGCAAAACAAGCCACTAACCTGTCTGTAAATAGCAAATATTCTTTTAATAAAGAAGGCAAAAATTACTTCTCCCAACAAATGATGTCTAAAACTACAATTGAAATCAGAATCTCCCTTCACTTGGCAAAGTGTTTCTAAAACCCATACTGTCTCCCAGGAAGGGCTTGATACCACTGCTATTAAGTTGCATCTGTCTATCACCATGGTAACTGTGGATGCCCCCAACTTAGCCAGGCTGGAGCTCTTGAATAGGTTATGAGCAGGATTATTTACCAGGTGAGTGGCATTTGTATTTGCCTTTTAGAAAATACTGTATACTCCGGTTTAGAAAAAAAAAAAATGAGTGAAACAAAATGTGGTGGCATTGTGTTCCCCAAAATATTGTGCGCCCTAATAAACTTATCTGGGGTCCGAGAACAGGACAGCCACAATATTAAACATAGAGGATAGGCAGTGGTAGCACACGCCTTTAATCCTAGCATTCCAGAGGCAGAAATCCATCTGTTCAAGGATACAGCCAAGCATGGTGACTCATGCCTTTAATCCCAGAAAGTGAGCCTTTAATTCTAGGGAGTGATGGTAGAAGCAGAAAGGTATATAAGGCATGAGGACCAGAAAACTAGAAGCATTTGACTGGTTAAGCTTTCAGGCTTTGGAGCAAGCAGCACAGTTCAGCTGAGATTCATTCTGAATGAGGAACTCAGAGGCTTCCAGTCTGAGGAAACAGGACCGGCTGAGGAATTGGCAAGGTGAGATAGCTGTGGCTTGTTCTGCATCTGATCTACCAGCATTTACACCAATAACTGGCCTCAGGTTTGATTTTATTAATAAGAACTTTGAAGATTCATGCTACAACAAAACCTAATAGTAACAACAAAAACGAGCAAAAAACACATTTCATATTTTCAAGAAAAACATAATTAAGGTCTGAAAGTAGTTTACTTGGATTCTAAATGTTCCTTTTGAAACTGAAATTGAATGGGCCTTGCAAACTTCTTAGATCATTTTTTCTCCCCAAGCAAGTGAAAAATATTCTAGCTGTATTAGTGGGATCTGAAGGGAAGGGATTTTTCTGCATTCACCAAACTCAGATGCCCTTACCTGGTTCACAGCATACACGTAGACTTTGCCCTGTTCCTCTTTCTCTGTCCCCATGTACATGGGGGCCCCGACGAGAAGCAGGTCGGTATAAGAATCTTTGTCAATGTCAATTGTTGTCAAGACGCTGCCAAAGTAGGAACCAATCTAGGACCCAAGACAAAACAGCAGGGATGAAATCTCGGAAGTGCTCCAGGAAGTGGAAGTTTGCCATTCTATTAATTGTCCTGGTCTAGACGCGGAAGTGAGAGCTGGTGTCAAAGGCACCAAAATACAGAAAATCTTGCTAGCCAAATCTTCAGTAGACTGAAGCATGATGTGGTCCTGACTTTGAGGATGACCAGTGGTGACAGATTTCTGTCTAAGAGACATGACTACCTTTATTTCTATTGTGACTGTCCTTGCTTGTCCATATAGCAGATCAAACCACGGTGAGTTTCTCAAGGAAAAAGAAAATAAATGAGATCGGAGAGGGTTTTCTGGTTTCATCATTGTATAAATAAGGTACCATGGGAATATGCAACAAATTCATAAAAGTGGCCGAGTGTTTCTGCAATAGTCTTGGTCTATGATTAGTGCTTACTCAATAGTGGCTAACGTGGTCCAGCAGTTACAGGGAATAGAAAAATAGGAAAAGATTTCAGGGCTCTCCTCTTGGACAACATTTTAAAGAAAAGGACCCGTTTTAGTGGGGAACTGGTTTTACACTATCTAAAAACTTAATCACTTTTCACAGATGGACCTGTATTTAATTACTTTTCATTCTTAACATTCTTCTTACAGATATTTCCATTGTAGGCTTATTTTTATCTTCGTTCTCATAACTCTGCTTCTACAGCATATATAACATTTTTTTTTTTTTTTTGGTGGGATGTGAGGGATTGAGATACAGTCTTTTTCTGTAGACCACGCTGGATTGGAATTCACTATCTAGCCTAGACTCTTCTTGAACTTGTGGCAATTTTCCTGTCTCAGCCACTAGAGTACTAGGATCATAGACATAAGCTACCAAGTTCACTATAAACAATGCTTGCTTTTCATCCTTGCAGGAGCCTTTCTCTCCTCTCATCTCCTAAGCCTTGTCCTGCCCTAAAGGTCAGGCCTGTAGTTTTCTTTGGATTCTCTAAGGCTAGGTGAAGATGCTTCCCCAATGCTTTCACTATTTTGCTACTGCGTACTGGGCCCAAGGCTGTTTCTAGAAACTACTGGATATGAATGTGAGCATGCATTTTTGAATGTTCTTTCAGTGATCCTTAAAGTACAACTTCACAGACATTTAAAAGGCTTATAATTTTTTAAACATTTGAACTAATTATAAATTTTAACCTTCCCCTCACATCAAAAAAAAAAAAAAAAAGCCTGTAAGTCCTTGCTCTGTTGGACATTCATCCCTAGTGTCAGTGGTCCACTGCAGCTGAGAGTGAGCTCACAAGCCGCCCAGGTTCAGTTTCCTGACTTCCTTTGTCTCATTCCCAGCAGCTTTGGTTATTAGAATTTGTGTTGCCACAGGAAACACATCTAAGTGTAATGATGTTCTTGAATTACCCCAACTTCAAGAATGGTTGACCACATAATCATGGAGCAACCCTTTAAAAAGAATCTCAGGCTTAGAACAGAAATGATTACTATTTACAAATCACCCATGGCATTCCCCTTTACTTACATAAGAATGTTTGTTTTATATTGTTTATATTCCCTTATACTTGCAGGCAGCTTCAGAATGGCAAGAAACTTAAGCTGTCAACAACAGCAACAAATTGCGTTTTCCTATTCTTCAGCTTCACTTATCACTTACTTTCACCTACTTTACCTCTTTCCTTTCAACTTCATAATGTTGATAAACCATTTTAGGTTGTTTATATGTTACCATTGAGCTGGAATAATAGTCTGTTTTATTGTTGATGAGTTCTGAATGCAAAAATGGCTAAATTAATAAAATCCTTTCACCTGAATGTGAGGGACTACCTCTGACGTACTCTGGGATTCCTCAGGAGTCTGCTGAGGATATTCTCCTTGTACTATTGAATCATGCTGATGTGGGTGAAAATAACTTTGGTTAGGATGCTGCAGTTAAGGTAGGTGGAAGTGGAAGAGAACTCTTTGTGTATTATGTGGCTTCTCAGACTGTGGTGGTCTTTTGCAGAGCCCCTGTGAGCTATGGCTATACTATGATAAAATCACATGGTTCCTCTGGGGCTCAAGGTTTTAACACTAGGGCCACTTCTAGACCAACTCAGTGTGATGCCTGATTCCTGGCTGCAGGTTATGATGGCTGCAGCCAGGACTGCCACAGAAGAGGAAGGTCGATTTGATTTCAGCTCTGCCTACCAAAGACTAAGCGGAACATCTGCTGGGGGATGTCATTCAATATTCTGTGAATATGTATTGCTCTGATTGGTTGATAAATAAAATGCTGATTGGCCAGTAGCCAGGCAGGAAGTATAAGTGGGGTGAGGAGAAGAAAAGAATTCTGTGAAGAGGAAGAGCTGAGGCAGGAGTCACCAGCCAGACACAGAGGAAGCAAGATGATGAGGCAGAACTGAGAAAAGGTACCAAGCCATGTGACTAAACACAGATAAGAATTATGGGTTAATTTAAGTGTAAGAGTTAGTCAGTAATAAGCCTGAGCTAATGGCCAAGCAGTTATATTTAATATATGACTCTGTGTGTTTACTTGGGGGACGAAAGTGGGAGAGATTTGTTCTGACTGCCAGCCGGCCAGGACACAGGAAAACTTCAACTACAAACATCCTTGCAAATGGCAGAATGAAGTTAATGAACTCTCACTGTGGAATGCTTGGAAGACCCATAAAAACATGAGCAAAACACACACACACACACACACACACACACACACACACACACACACACACACAAAGTTACTCAAATTACTCTTCAAAACTAACCATTGAATAGCACAGTTAGACATATATTTCAGTCTAAAACACTGAATGTATTGATATTTGCCTACTGTATGTATAGTTTCCTAAATGACTTTTAATATTTAAGGATATTTTAAAGAGTTTTCTAATTTTAAATGTTACATACAATTTCCCATCACCTACAGCATGATCCAATGTGTTGAATTTTAAGTCTTTCATTTCTTTTTTCTTATCTATATCCCATCTTTCCATTTAGAGCCAGCACAAAGTTTAGTTCCTATGAGTTTCCTGTACCAAGCATAACTTAAAGTGACCTTCTCTCTTATGAGTGCATCAATGCAACTGCCCTTTTATACTTCTTGATGTTGTAGATCTTAGTATTTCTTGTGTACATTGAATAAAACTGCATGCAACCTCTATCATCTATACATATCTACTTCTAACTCATTCCAACTGATGTGCTTATGACATCAAAGTTATGGCTACTTCACATCCCTCCAAAGAATCAATAGAAAGCCTTCTTCACAATGGATTTTGCTTAATTGGGTTTTTAAAACTTTAGGTCAAAAGTCACCGAATTCATACAGATTACAGAAAACAATTTATTTCGAGTTTACCTGCTCTCCACCGAGTGTCTGGAGAATTTTGATGTTCCCATCCTCCATCTTGTAGATGACGACCTGGCCTGTATGATTGTATCGAGGCTGTCCAGCGACATAGAGCACATCTCCAGGGACAGTGGCAGAGTTCACTGTGTAACCTAACCAAAGAGAGATCCCAGATGTGTACCCGGACCCCTAAAGTCCTTTGTAATATAGTATGAATTACTTTAGATGGTTAGGCTAATCATTTTTATATTTTTTTTTGCATTTTGTGCTGGTGAGAAGCCTTTAATGTGCTCCTTCTTCCTATCACACCTGAATGGCTCTGCCATGATAATTTCCCCCAAACCAAGTTTTTCATTTTTTACAGATGCAAATGATACAACAGTGATGACAGAGAAGGGGGAAAAAGGTACCTGCATGCACTTGTGCACAGTCATGCACACTCACACACACCTTGAAACCCTCCAATCACCATTGTGGAGCAAATAAATTACATTTTATTTAGATCGGTGATTCTCAACCTGTGGTCACGATCCCTTTGGGGGTTGCATGACTCTTTCACAGGGCTCGTCTAAGATCATCAGAAAACACAAATATTTACATTATGATCCATAACAGTAGCAAAGTTACAGTTATGAAATAGCAATGAAAATAATTTTACAGTTGGGGGTCCCCACAACATGAGGAACTGTATTAAAGGGTCACAGCATTAGGAAGGTTGAGAACTACTGATCTAGATACAAGTGTCTATACTATCAACACTAATCGTTTTATGTACTTGGATGACAGAAAATATAATCCCTTCCTGCATTGCTAACCATGTTTTTAAACTGTAATTTTATATGGTTAAAGGTTGTTTGTCTGAGTTGTATGATAGAGGTATTGCCAACTTCCTGGCCATTTGCTGATGGACTAATGGAATTTAGGTGTTTTGTTGTTGTTGTTTTATTTTTTGTTTGTTTGAGCATTTTTGTACTATGCTTGAGATAACAAAAAGCAAGTTTGAGGACTTTTTTTCCTTCTTTTGAATATTTTTGACAATAAATTTCAAATAATAGATTACAGGATCAGTGTTTCTCATTCTTACAATGTGAGGTGAGCCACTTCCAGGACATCACTACTAGGGTTATTCCATGAACTAAACCTTCTCAAGCATTGTGTGTGAGTACCATGATTTATAGTTGTGGGTGCTGTGGGATGTTCTGTATGGCAAATGTGTTGCTGATTAGTCAATAAATAAAACACTGATTGGCCATTGGCTAGGCAGGAAGTGTAGGCAGGACAAGGAGGAGAATAAAGCTGGAAAGTGGAAGGCTGAGTCAGAGAGACACTGCCAGCCACCACGATGAGAAACAGCATGTGAAGATGCCGGTAAGCCACGAGCCATGTGGCAAGGTATAGATGAATGGAAATGGATTAATTTAAGCTGTAAGAACAGTTAGCAAGAAGCCTGCCTCGGCCATACAGTTTGTAACCAATATAAGTCTCTGTGTTTACTTGGTCGGGTCTGACGGCTGTGGGACTGGCAGGTGAGAGAGATTTGTCCTGACTGTGGGCCAGGCAGGAAAACTCTAGCTACATGTGGGTGTTTTGAATAACACAGTTCTTTGCTGTGATTTTTAACTCTTTTTTAATTAACACTGAGTTTTTTTTTTTCACACATCTACTCATCTCATTTTTCATGCTCTGTAAAATTTTCTTTTACCTGCTTCTGTTTTCATCTACATATATTATGTTATGTAGACTTTTCTCATGAGCCCTGCAATTTTTTTGCCACATCCACTTAAGGTTTAAGAACACCTTGTTCTAGTTCAGTCAGAATCATCTTGTTATGACAAAGCTAGCTCATGCATGGGTCGATCTGATCATGGGCTCTGTGTCATCATGCATCCTGCGCATGGCCAAGCACTCATCACAGGTGTCTCCGTTGATTTAGCTCACTCACCAGGAATACACGGACAACTCCCAAGTTTGGCATTACCTTATCTATTTGTAAACACGTATAGCAAATTTTTCATACCATTGTTGGGCATTCACTCCTTTTTTTTGAGGCTATAAGTCCGTCTTTTTAGCTATAAGTCCATCTCTGCAGAGATGGAAAGACTCACAAAATAATGGTAAAGTCACTATTGAGATATGTAGTGGCTCTTCAGATAGTCATAGCCTTGATGGCCTGGGAAGTTTCTCAGATGTTATTAAAATGAACATGATGTTTTGAGTGTCTTGATTGTGGGAGCCCGTTCTCGGGTTCCTCGTGGCTTTACCCAGCATGTCCGCGTAGAGGATGATTAGGACCACGGGCCTGAGTGCAGGTGTCTGGGATGGTCTGCACTTGGCTGTGCTGGGGGAGGAGGTCTTTTGCTCCACCCCTTGGCGTCTCTATAAAAACCCTGGGGCAGAGACAGTCGGGGCCGTTGGACTAGGTTCCAGGCCCTCTCGAGGCTATCCTTTATTTTCTATCTGTTTATCTCCGTGATATTCTCCGCAATAAATCTTTCTATCTAATATTTCCTGCTGCTCGCACTCAAGAAAACTCTGGGGAACTGTGGGGGTGGTGGGTAAACGTCCTACACTTGATATACATGATTTTGAGGGGAGTTCTGGATCAAATGCATAACAAACCCTCCCAAGAGGTCACTCCTGGCCAGTTAGGAAAAGAGCTTGAATTGTGGCTTTAGGTCAGATTACTATTATTTTCTGAAGGAAAAATAGTTTTGCTTTTTGTATCTGTAGAGAATGGAGCTAAATCAATGGATAACTCTTGCTACCCATATGCTTGAGTTCTGCGGAAGGAAGCAATGCTCTCATAGTTAGAAGTGGCTTATTCCTGGAGTAGAAGACACGCATAGTTCAAAAAGTCACAGAGAACCACTTCCAACTGTAAAAGAGGTCATATTTTTAATTTAATTAGTAAATATTTTACTATAAGTTAAATAATTGTTTTTTGTACAAATAATATGTTTTTATAAGTGCTAAGGGAACAAAATCGGTCAGGCATATTATCCTTTGTGAATTTTTTCATCTGTTTTCATACCTTCATCCTCCTTTACGAAGGATGAGTATTGTCTAGTTTCATACCTTCTGGGAAGAAGCAAGAGCCTTGGTGATGGAGTAGGAAATGAATGGCTGATCTTCATTTTGTGCCTTTAGCTCACTTCCTGTTCCTTTAGAGTGTGTCAGGCATGATCAGAACATAGCACGGATGTATGAGAACAAAGTACGGATGAAGGGGACAGAGTTCGGGCTCCCCCACAGTCTCACCACCACACTCAAAATGCAATATGGCTAAGCACATACTGAGGCAGGTTAGGGGGTGAGAAGAATTTGGGTGGATGACTCTGTCCTGAAAGGGGTGTTCATGCTACATTTCCCACTGCCTCCTTTTCATTGATGAACACATATTTCCACAGAGGGCTGGCCTCTCATTTTGCCCTCTTTGTAAGATTTCACATGGCCTCACTGGTTGCTTTTCACCCAGATTTCAGAGCAGTGAACTCAGTCTCTCTATAATTTTACAATACCCACAACAAAATATTTGAAAGCCTTATTTCAGATTTGAAAAAAAATATTTGGGGGTGGGTTAGGGGAAGCATATGAAAGACACCTTACACCTATTAGACACCTGTTGGTAAATGTCTTATATCTTAACTTTTGACTAAGGTAATGAAATGAACAGAAAATACATTAATATACGATAGACCACATATGCAAATTTATCTTTTCTTATGCATAGAGGAGCCACAAATATGCACATTTATTTACATATATTTGCATATATACGTTGTCAACAAGTAATTTTTCCAGTTTCATTGAATTGTAAATGATAAAAGGGGCCATGGAAAGAAGTAAGGCTATTTTGATGTTTTCTTATGTGTAGTACAATCTTTAAAATTTAAGTCATTTAAGCATGCTTTAATCAACCATTGACTCAAACTTTAGGGGAATAACAGACTTAGGACTTTGTTTGATTTAAAGAATTTGATTGTAGAATCCTAACCTAGACTACCAAAAATACAGCACTGTTAAATTAATAATTAGAATAAGTGAATATAGGGGGTAGTGACCATGTCAAACTCATTTGTTTTCTTCATTCAGTCTTTTTGTCTAAATGCTTAGTTGTAATAGGATCAGTGCTAGAAACTGTATTATTTAACAAACCTGTATTAGTTTTCTACTGATGCTATAACAAATTACTATAAACTTGATGGCTTACCATGTACATTCCAAATGTCTTACTGTGCAATTCTGTAAGTTACAAGTCCTACATAGCTCTCCCTGCACTACAGTAAGAAGCAAGTGGGGGCTATGCCTTCCTGGAGACTGTGGAGAGAACACGTTTCTTTGTCCTTTGTGATCTAGAGATCACATATGTTCCTACCTCCTCCTCCTCCATTACCAGCAACACTGCATCTCTCTGGCCATCTCCTACAATTCTATCTCCCTCTAAACACATCTAGGAAAGATTTTTCTGATTTCATCACTTGATTATATTGAACTATGGCAATATGTACTGGCTGGTTTTGTGTGTCAACCTGACACAAGCTAGACTTATCAAAGAGGAAGGAGCCTCGGCTGAGAAAATGTCTCCATGAGATCCAACTGTAAGGCATGTTCACAACTAGTGGTCAATGGAGGTGGGGCAGCCCATGATGGGTGGTGCCACCCTGGGCTGGTGGTCCTGGGTCTATAAAAAAAAGCAGTCTGAGCAAGCCAGAGGAAGCAAGCCAATGCTTTCATGGCCTCTGCATCAGCTCCTGCCTCCAGGATCCTGCCCTATTGGAGTTCCTGTCCTGACTTCCTTTGGTGATGAACAGTGATGTCTAAGTGTAAGCTGAACAAACCCTTTCCTCCCCAACTTGCTTTTTGGTCATGGTGTTTTGTCACAGCAATAGAAACCCTAAGACAAAATATATCCAAGGATAATCTATCTCAGGATCCCTCATAAAGTTACAATTGGAAAGTCCTTTTTGCCTCATAAAGTAACACATTAATAGGTCCATGGATTAGGGCCTAGACATTGAATTTGTTTTTTGTTTGTTTGTTTTTGGCTAGGGTCTTAAAGTGAATTTCTGGCAATGAAGAGAGATCCTTTCTGTGGCTCTGCAAACACACAATCGACTGTCTTTCATAGGAATTATAATAATTTACATTTATAAATCCATCCATTATTATCTATAATTGTTCTATCTAGGGCAGAAAGAAGCTTTAGGTTAAACTGGCTTTTGAGTCCAAGGTTTTCTGCATATAACAATCTCACAGAATCTTAGGTTATGAAGAACTTCAGACACTATCTGAGCTAAGCGCCCCCGCTCCCCCACTTCTGTCAATTCTCTGTCTTAGCCCACAGCATACCCAGTGAGATTGCTTGTTTCTTCATTGTTTCTCATCCAGAACAATGGTCTGCCTCATCCATTTTGTCATTTTAAATTTGTCTAATATGTTTGGCACAACATAGGCACTCTGGATTTGTGAGTGCTTTCCCAATTAGCCCAGAGTCAGGTATTTTCATACAGGGAACACTCCTGTAAGAATCAGGTGACCTGACTGGTGTGTCAGAGCTGCTAGTGGTAACTGGAGCACAATTGTCCTGTTCTCTGATGATTAATTTAGAAAGCAGATTAAGCATGCCTCTCACCATGACAGACACAGTATGAAGCATGAGCTCAGCCCTGGCACCATCACCCATTCTCAGCTGTTTCAAAGACACACAGTACACTTCCTTTCCCAGCTTCCAATTTCTTTGAGATTTGGAGGAAGGTGGGCTTGTGTCAGGGAATTCATTTCCACATCTGTCTGCTCTAAATCACCTTTTACTAGAGTAAAAGACTAAGCTGTCTTTGTCATTTGGGCTTTGACTTGTTCAGGCCGGTTTGTTTTCTGGTAGGAGGAGAGCGGGATGTCTTCTGCTGCTTGCTGTTAGGTGTTTCGACAGCAGAGACCCAAACTCTAAAGCCCTGCCTCCTCTGCAGCTGTCAGGAGTGCTCTGAGGAAGAAGAGATGTGGAGGTACCCCAGAACTTGGTATTTTCCTCATAAGATAGAAAGAAACTAGGATTTAGACAGAAAAAGCCTTGCCTCCAGGATCAAAAGTTCCTTGAAAGAATGCTGCGATAGTAAAATGGGGGATATTTCAAGACCAAGGTGTTTGCTTTATCTCTGTACCCCAATGCTGAGAATATTGGCAGGACAAGAAAGGACCTAAGGACAAGTATGCTAAGTGGGAATAGGGGAACAGCATTGGGGGTCCTTTCCATTTTCTTTCTTTCTTTCTTTCTTTCTTTCTTTCTTTCTTTCTTTCTTTCTTTCTTTCTTTCTTTCTTTCTTTTTTTTGGGGGGGTTTTTCGAGACAGGGTTTCTCTGTGTAGTTTTGGTGCCTTTCCTGGAACTCACTTTGTAGCCCAGGCTGGCCTCAAACTCACAGAGATCCGCCTGCCTCTGCCTCCCGAGTGCTGGGATTAAAGGCGTGTGCCACCACCGCCTGGCATCCTTTCCGTTTTTGTTTAGGCCTCCCACCTGTTTCCTGTGCCTTCACAGTGATGAGAGGCCCTCACCGACAACCCCCACCCCACCCAGTTGGTTCTGAGCCTGGTATAGATCCTGAATAAGGCAACGACAAACATGTGTCCCATCTCCTTATTCCCAGAATTTTACTGAATGTGACTAGAAGAAGCTATAGATACAAACTAGAATAGAATCAAAGAAGAAACTATGATAAAGCAGTTGAAATTTTTCTTTCACAATGAGAACTTGTAGAAAGAAATTAAGGATATATATTATGCAGGCCATGTCAAGGTTTTTCTAACCTCATTTTTCTGTCTACCGGGTCCAAAGTTCTTCTGGTTTTATAGGAAATATCGGACACAGGGGGCACTCTTAGACAGCACTCAGTGTCAGCTAACACTGTTCCTTGCACTTGTCCAACACCTCAGCAGGCGCTGAGCTAATGACCTCCAGTTTCTATGACTTTGACTCGCTAAGGCTGCTCAGAAGTCTGAAACCTTTCCCGAATCTTTTAAAACACCGGGGAAAACAATGTTATGGAAAAAAAAAAAATCATGTGAACATTTCTTTTGAAGACGCTTCTAGCAGTTGCATCCAAGCCTTACCTAAATAAGAAGCAAGAGGTTCGTTCATTTTGGCAGGCTCAGGTTGAAAGGTGGTGTTCTGAGGGATGACAATCTGGTTAGCCTTCTGCATGACGACAGTTCCGTTCCAATCATAGGCCCCCACTGCTCCAAGCATGACCCAGTCCTAATGTATGAGACAGAGAGCAATAAAATGGTATTGGCAAACACTTCGGTAGCACTAACCATATGATAGGAATGGTCCAAAGTGCTTTATAAAAATTAATTCATATAGTACTAAAAACAACTTTCTTCGCAAGAACACAATATTACAATCTCTATTTTAAGCCAGATGGTGGTGGTCCACGCCTTTTATCTCAGTACCTAGGAAGAGGCAAAGGTGGGTGGATCCTTGAGTTCTAGACTAGCATGGTCTACAGAGCGAGTTCCAGGACAACCAGGCCTATATAGAGAAACCCTGTCTTGAAAACAAACAAAAAGCAAGCAAACAACAAACAAACAAACAAGAAAGCAAAATCCCAATTTTAATTAAAAAGGAAGCTGGGGTACACTATGTAACTTCCACATTGAAATGTCAATAACCCTGTATAAGGGCCATGATGTCTTCTCTTCTTGCCTTTCTATATTGTTCTGGACACACACACACACACACACACACACACACACACACACACTCCTACATCTTAGTCTTCTAAGGAATATTAACATGACCAATGAATACCTTAACACTGAGAAAAAGATTCCACATTTTAAACAAATGTCTTAAGTCTTTCATTTCATTAGGTGCACAATTCCATTCAGCAGAGCTCAGACTGTCTGGTTCACAACTATTAACTGGTAAAATATAGAAGCTGTGTGACATAGTCTCCTAATAAGAAGCTTGTGAGATGCCGTTTTCTCCATTTGGATTAGACATCACAACCACAGCCTGCAGAGCTGCCCCTCAACATAAACTTCAAAGCAATGTTACACAATTAATGGCTGGGCATTGCTTGCAGGGAAATTTTGCAGGAAAGATATTGCTTTCCTGGACATGATCAACGTACCTGTGAATAATGAGCACTGAAACCGGTCTGAGACATTTCCATCTCAAAGGATGCTGCGGACTGGTCAGCTGTAGCTACAATGTGAGAAAGATAACACAGTAAGTGACTGCCAATGTCTTTTAGGCTGCCAATGGTCTGCTGGACACAGAAGTGCTGGAATCTGGGGACCTGCCAAGCAGAACTATGGAACGTATTAGGGCACTATCAGCCATGTACTTCTCAACCAAAACTCCTAGACAAGGTTAAACACAAGACAGAGGTTACTGAAAGGACTCTTCTTCCATTCTTAAGCATTGGCTTCCCATCCTTGCTGAGGGAACGATGATCTACTTGCTTGCAGAGAGTTTATTTGGTCTTAAGAATGAGTTAAAATTAACATAGTTTTAGCCAAGTCAGCCTGACTGTCTGTTCTGGACTGTAGCTGACTGTGATTCCTTGGTGCTTTGGAAAGCTGAACTACAGTAAGAGTCAACTGTCTTGTCTACTTGGTCTGGGAACCCTATCAGAGCTAAATTTGATACCCTACAGGGCTAACAAAACTTTACTCGTGTATTTAAAGAGATTCTCAGCTCATCAGTCCCACCTACACTTCAGGCCCTATATCCTCTCTAGGAGCCACTGTTTGATAGAGTTGAAGGATCCCAGTGCATGTTGGTCTTAATACTGGATGTGGGGATCATTCATCTCAGGAGGTGACTTTTTCACATAGCTCTCATTTGTGTCCCATCTAAGTCTATATTTTTAAAGAAACTTTATATTTTTAAAACATCAATTTTAAAGCTCATTGCTAAAGTCCAGACAAGTTAGAGCATTGTATGGAGTTGCACTCTTCTCAAAATATTTACAGACCAGAAGCCACAGTTTCCTGGGGGAACTGAGGGAATGTTGATCTACTTGCTTCCAGGGAGTCACTGGTTTACTTGGTCTTAAAATAAGTTAAAAATAACACATAATTTTGGCCAAGTCAGCCTGTCTGTCAATTGATTCATGTGAATCATTAAACTTGTGAAATTAAACATGTTTACTATTTATTTAGTGGCATAAAAACTATTAAAAAATGCATCTGCAATTGAATTTTTATAGGGCTAGATTAAATGTGGCAAGCGATCAAGAATCTGAATCTATCATTTTAATCCCTTATTCAAATTGCCCTTTAAATGACTAAGATGCATTTTACCTCAAATTAAAATGTGTTTTTGATACATAATGATTTAAGCTACTTCCACGCCTATTTTTGCAGGACGGATAGCAAGGACATCGTAGTAGACACCAGCCTCGCTCACCCTCTGCTGATGTTGTGTTTTCAAATGAGAACAGAGGAAGGAACTCCGTGGCATTCTGCATGCTACATTAGCATCATGATAATAGCCTAGCCACATGCTCTTTCTCATATTCTCACTTTCAACCTGTCCCTGACAGGCTGATGTGGAGTAAACCTACCACTCTGCCTCTTGCACTATGTCTGGTTGGGAATGTGAGCATTGTCCCCTGGAAGCTGATAAGAAAGGGAGATTCCTATCTTTTCCTGATCTGTTTAGTCAACTCCTGAGCATGCCTGACTCACTAGGTGGCACTGTCCTTGGCCAACCAGACTGTCATAATTGTAGCTATTTACCATCTAAAACAAATACTGACAGGAAATGGAGATTTCCCAAATGACAGGGGAAAAAGCCTTTTGTGATCTCATTATGAAAATAACGAGACCTAGTATACTGGAAGCGCCGCTGTAAAATGCCAGTACCAGGGAAGTTGAGGCAAGAGGATCAAGGCTAGAGAAACTTTGCCTTGAAAAGGAAAACAAAAACAGAACCGGAAACAAAACAGACAACCCCCATGACTTTAGTCTTGATAGAGCAGCATTAAGATGTAGAGAGAAAATTTTAATCTTTGGAGAGTTTCATAAAGTGATTTCAATTATTTCAATATAGAGATTTATTGAAGCATTTGGACATTCTAGTGAGGAACTTTAACTGTGATTTGGTAAGGTTATAAAGAATCTTAAAATGTCATTTCAGGCAAAATGAACCACGTCCCTTACAATGCAGGTCACATTTGGCCAGTTCTAGGTTATATTTGCCTGCTGACTTAGAGAGTAGTTAGAAATGGCACTTACTATGTTTAACTGACTAGTCTAATAGCAATTTTTAAAAAACCAACTCATATAAGTAACATTATACAGACCAAACAGGTTGTATTTAGAAATTTATATGTGTACAGCTATACATATGTGCATCGCAATAATATTCATGAACAAGGAGGCCATGGATTTGAAGGAGAGTGGGAGAGTTATATGAGAGGGGTTTTGAGGGAGAAAAGGAAACAGAGGAATGCTGTGGTTATATTACAGTCTAAAACAACAAAACAAAACAAAAACAAGCAAAAAACTCAACCCTTTACAGACTCTTTCTTGGCCTGTGTTGTTAAAAGTTAAAAGTGCACGGTAATTTAGAAGACCATTCATATTAAATCTAGACAAGCATGGCCTGGCCTATTGCTAAATAACATCTCCATGGCTATTGAGAGACCAAAGCCATGGAACAGTGACTTGGATTCAGAACACAGGACAGCGGAGCCATTCAGAAACGGCTATGATTCAAGTGTTCTGTCTCTGGAGGCAGAAGACAAAAAGGGAGTCAGAGAAACTCCTTCTGCCTGGAAAGCCAGTCCTCGTCACCCTCAGAGGGAATCCAAGCTTCTGAGCACTGAGTGGGACTCAGATCCAAAGCAACGGGGTGAGCAAAGCCATTTCATTGTCTCTGAAAGAGGGTCCCTGTGCGAGCAGGAAGCGGTGAGCATGGCGCCGTGCACTGTGCATAACAGACTATCGCGAGACACGCTGAGATTGGGTGTATTTTTATATGCATGAATATGTGTGTGCTGGCTTGCAAAGCAAAACGTTTGTTTTCAGGGGCTACTCAAGAAATGTTGAAAACCATTGCTTCACATCATTTTCTTGAACTAGAGGTATAGGGAAGCTGTAGAGCAGTTGTCCAGCATATATAAGGCCCTGGGTTCAGTCCTCAGCGCGCATGCGCGCACACACATTTTTTTTTTTTTTCTTGTTTATTGGATACTTGCTCAAAACTGTCTACCCTTTTTAAAGTCATGTCTCATCCTCACATTCTCTTTCATTTGTAATTAACAGGTTCTGTCAGGGATAGCAAGATAGAACTTTTCACAACTACACAAGCGACATTTTCATCGGGCCCCCTTGAAGACAGTCAATAGGACTGGGGTGCCCCAGAAGGACCTAAGAATTCTCTGTGGTTTCTGCGGGGATCTGGGGTCTGAGTCCTGAGTCTCCAGACCTTCAAAAATTCAAAGAAGACTTTATGATTCAAAGGACATGAGTTCCAAAGTAGTTTGTTACTGGACACCTTCCACCTAAGGGACTAGCATTGTTCAGTAGCTTCAACAGACTGTTACCGCTGAAAAAGTCAAAGAAAAATCTTCAAAGAGGTGGCATGATTAGACAACCACAGTAGATGAAGTTTTGCAACCCAAGGACTCGAGGCAAAACTCCATGAAGATCTTTACAAATGTGCATAAAGCAAATCGCAGAGGGAATGAACACAGAAATGATTGCATCAGAACACTGTCCTAGCAGCCCTAAGGAAACAGAGACACAGTCAGAAAATAAAAGTTGAGCTAGTGGCGCTTCATTCTAAACTTGTGTCACCGAAAAGGAACAAGGCATGCTGAGGCATTTGGTTTCTTACATATGTCAATGCTGACCACCATGTCCACTAGCTCTCCTGGGCATCATAGCAGCCTGACAATAACTGCTTCTAGCAGACACAGCTCTCTGTAAAGTAGCTTCATGACAGATACATATAGCAGAGATTTCTTCCCTGATGGCTACTGCACACAGTGAACATGAGTTAGTAGTGTGCTGAGAATACCCCAAACCCATCATATTAAATTTGAATTTTAGAAGCAACAGGCAGCATTAGGAAAGATAGTCATACCTTCCAAGGCAAATATCCTTTCTCCTAGAGCTTTAACAATAGTGACCAGGGCCAACTCATCTGAAACATTGAAGAAGTGCTTTTCAGTGGGCTCGCTGGCGATTGATTTTATTTCCTCCACAAATTTTTCAGTGCTTAAGTTCCCTCGGTTATAGTGGCCAAGGATCTAGGGTATAACAAAAATGGCAAGAACACATTTTAACTTCTAAATGTTAAATAAATATCTCAAACATATATATTCAGTGAACAAGAACATTTAGGTTATCTTATCATGTGATAATGTTTTGTACTTATGGGAATACTTATGGAAGAGAAGCTGTCTGAGTACATGGTTTTCCTAATATTGATTCATATGAATATTTATCTTATTTTTCATTATGTCTGTGTGTGTCTGTGTATGTGCACCTGTGTGCAGGTTCCCTTGAGGCCGAGGGATGAAGTCTTCCTGGAGTTGGAGTTACTGGCAGAGGTGAGCTGCCTGACATGGGTTCTGAGAAGCAGCCTTGGGTCCCCTACAAAAGCAGTACATGATATTAACCACTGAGCATCTCCCCATCCCTATATACTGGTTCTTAAAACCACGGTTGAGGTGGGAAAATGAAAATCTTTCTTCTTATGCACTCCCATGATGCTGTGTAACAGCTATAGCTTTGAAATCCGACAGTTCAAAAGAAATGTTATAATTTCTATATGACTGTGGTATGGTTGCAGCTACTAACATGGCCATCTTCTGGCAGAGCAACCAGTGAGGGAGTTATGGAAATGTTTTGTATGTTTGTGTACCTAAGTGTATATATATTATACATGTGTGCATGCACACGTGTGTGCATATGTGTATTTTTTCTTAGAGACTTGTGAAAGCTCTGCATATATTCTGGAGTGAAGACTTTTATATTTGTTTCATTTTTTTATGAGAAGTTTTAAATTTTCATGAAATCATACTAATCATGCTTCTTCTTTAAGGTATGCACAATCTTGCCTGTTTAGTTTTAGTGTGAAAATATCCATGTTTGTGATAAATATGTAAATTTTAAACTAAAAATCCCCAATACAAAGATATGATCTAATTTTATATTTTAAAATTGCATAGCTATGTGAGTAATAGGAAGAAGATTCAAATAATATATTACTTTTTATTTCTGTTTATAATATTTTATATTTCCATCATTGATTTGCCCACATTTATTTAAAGGCCATTTTCTTTTATAATGAAAATGTCACTCTTGTAATAAAGCACATTTAATTTTTATTTCGTTACAAGTTACATTTGAAGATGACCAGTTCTTTTAAACATTCCTGTCTCCTTTATTATACTATCCCACTGAGAACAACTTAGATGTCTGTAAATAATGATGCATAAAATGAGGTTTAAGATGGTAGGCTACAAAATGGTATTTTGATTAAGATATATAGATATGTACTTACAAAAATGAGAAGAAACTCAAGTTACTGTTTACATAGTTCTTCTTATGACCTCTGGCAGATTTATTTGTTTCATATGATGAATAGTGTGCGAGCAACACTGTACAACTGAGGAACTCTGAGGCACACGAACTGTTCATGTGAGAATATGAGTCGTATCTGCTCCAGGCAGTAGGCTCACGGAGGCTTTGCATGATGTGCTTGCCCCTTTCCCTGGGGAACACCAGTGACCAGCACAGAGGAAATGTCCTATTTCCACACTGTAGGACATCAAGCCAACTCCTCACTCTTCACTCTTAAGACCTCATCCATCCAGCCCACCCTAGCTCTTTCACACGTTAATGTGCTTAAAATGAATGACACATGAGTATCTGGGAAGGACCGACCAACCGTTCTTTGGGGAAGCCTGTGTCTAAGGAAACCTGGAGCTGTTGACAAGGTAGCCTGTGCATGACTTAGGTTCTGTTCGATTTTCATTTATAAAGTCACTCTTCCTACTATGATACCCAGACTTTGCATAGAATGGTCTAGGCAGGAACTTCACAAATTATTACAGAAAACAAAAACTAAATTCCTAGCTATTGTGATGAAAAGCCAGGGCAAACACTATATGTGGCTAGCCTCTGAAAAGAGACCCCTGGCACTGTGTTGCTCATTAGCTATGTGATGGAGGAGAATTAGTGGAGGTGGAGGCGGCAGAGAGATGTTAGGTAGGGAGGCAAAACTGAAAGGCCATGCTCTCACAACATTGAACAAATACCCTACCTCATTTAAGAAGAGCTATCAAGATGCCTTTCTTATAGTTGGATGTCTCGCTGAATCTGGTTGCAGGAGACAGTCTACAAGTTCTAAAGGAACCATACCCATGCATTTCCTGCTGAACATGGTTAGACTACTTTTTTCTTTTTTTATCAGTTTGGTAACCTATATGTTTAGATTCATTCAAATCCTGGATGATGTGGATTCCTCTGAGTTCCCCACTGATTTACTTAACTTATTCTACAGATCTTGTGACATCCTGGGATGATAAATCATCATTGCTCCTTTTTGATTCTTACCCAGCATGTTCTAGATTAACTATTGGATCAACATATTAACTCCCATTTAATTTAAAATTGCTGAAATTCAAAATATACTTAACACAAACTTAATAGCTGAGTTTTAGGGCGTGTGTAGTTGAAGTTGTTAATTGTGAAGTGAATGTTATCAGACATTTAGTGGTAAATATGAAAGGAGGGAGATAAGTAGATTTAACTAAGTAGGAAAAGTGCCCACAGGACATATGTAACGAGTAAGAATAAAGTGGATAACTACAATGTTGGAGAATATACTCAGAGATGCAGGATTTATGGGCTCCTACAGAGGTTTGAACCACCTTATGTCACAGATGAAAACAATGACAGAAGCCTATTGGGATCTTTCACCCCAGGGTTTGCTAACTTGTAAAAATGTTTTCTATGAAAACAAACAAAAAGTCAAATAATACACCTAATTTTTTAAGTATATCTCCAATCTGTTGAACTGAAGCATTTGAATTCTGCTAATATTTACCTGAAAAATGTAGTCAGAACTGAAATCTCCTTGAAGCAGATATGTCAGAGTAAATGTGCAATGCATTTATGTGCAGCATCATGCCTTTTATTTGAAAATATAAATGGAATGCTATGATCTTCACTGATGTCTCATTTACATTTGAGTGCAATAAGTAATTCACACCTCTCAGCCATTACGACCTAGGAGTAGAATCTGAATATCTAATAAGGCCTGATGGACCAGTCTAATATTCTCCACTGACAGAAACAGAGGACTAAAAGCCAACTCGTGGCCTCTCAAAATATGGAATTTTAACAGGAAATGTTTGAAGTTTTAAAACAGGGAACTTACATCACCAATATTTAATTCTCTTGGGGAGCTGTTTCCTGTCAAAACACGTTTCTGTGTTGATCAGAACCAAACAGTGAGGAAAAGATGCAGTAGACGGAATAGTCCAGACAGTAATTAAAATAACTGAGATAAAAGAATATTCCAGGCAGTAATTAAGATAGAACTTATATTTGTGTGAATATGTGCAGCATGAATAGAGATTCCTGAAGTCTTTCTGTGTTATGCACGGACGAGAAAAAGTAATACAAGTGTCTTGTTTTCCATTTTAGTCTCAAATAATATTTTTAAAAATAAATACGGTATAGCAGGGAAAAGAGACACAAAGTAGGAAAGGTAACTAATTATTAAGTGACATTTTCTTATTTTTTATTTATACAGATTTCAAGAGCAGTTTGATAATACCACACTGATTAAAATGGAAAACACATGAATATATGGTTCTCCATGAAGATGAATGGGATTTTGAAATCTATTTTTTACTAGATGAGAGGCAATGTATAACAATCAAATAGGACTCCAAATAGGCAAAGAGTTTAAGACAAGAAAAAACTGACTATGTCATCGGACATAATGCAAAACACAGAAAACACTTTTAAAAAGTTGCGCACTGTCTTTGTCTTTCCAGTGAAGTGTCCCTAATGCTGGTTGTGTGTGTGTGTGTGTGTGTGTGTGTGTGTGTGTGTGTGTGTGTGTGTGTGTGTGTGTGCTGAGTATTAAGTGATCCCATGAGGGAGGCAAGCAATCTCTGGCTGAACTACATCCTCAGCACCAATACTGTTAATTCTGATGATGCCTAATGCTGTTTGTGGCCTGCATCCATGGTACTTGGAATGCCAACTAGTCCTCAGGGGGAAGCAGAAAAATGAGACAATCTCTGATACTTATGTAATGTCTGGACCAAGTGAGCAAGCTCTGGCTTTACACACTGAAGAAAGAGATCAGCCATAGACTTAATGTCACTCGTTGTTTAGACATTGTCCTGAGTGAAGGCAAGACCATTTGAAACTATTCTCAACCATGAAATCATGAAATAGTTACATTTTCACAGCAGAAGGGGCAATAAAGAATTTGATGATAATTGGCAAGTGAAAATTTATAAAAGTAAGCAATAGGGATAATGAGAGAAACAATTAGATGTTTAGTGAATTTTTTTATATATCTTATACCCCAAATAAAATAAGAAAATGTTTCAGTCAGATATTATCACTTTATAACCCAATCGTCTTGTTTATAAAACGAGTGCCTTGGCCCTGGGAAGCTGTGAATCATGTCCTGAAACTTTTTTTCTGTGTGTAACCCCATCCCCCACTACTTATATCATTCATGCTTTTGAAAGAAAGATAAATTCATTGACTGGATGTTGAAAATTAATGCAGCTAATATTTGATTATTGTTTGTAAAGAGTTCAAGCTGCGCTGTTGGGGTTTGGAATCTTTTTCTCTTGGCTTAAAAAAAGTCTATTAATTAAATCAATTTTAGTGAACAAAAGGACAATTGATTTCAGATGAAAGAGAAGCCTGCCCCTAGACCAAAGACACATGAAGGGCTACAAGGTGGAAGCAGAAAGGAAGAGCCAGATGTAGTCTCTGGGGAATTCCCTGACGGTTTCTGAGCAAGGAGGAAACCCACATCCCTTTTTATCTCTTGAACACCAGGCTCTTCTTAGCTCATGGTTGTGAGTTCCTTGAAAGGATCAGAGAGAAAGACAATGGTTATTGTATGCCTCGCTGGCCACCGTTGTCACCGATTCTTCATGTGGTGAGAGACAGACAGACTGACAGGAATAACATAATCCTTTGACAGAGGAAGATACTGAAGCTCAGACTGTTAGGAACTTGTTCATTTGTCCCAGAGATGATATGCAGCATGAAAGTCTGTCCAAAGGTGTTTCAGGACCTGAAACACATTCTTCTCTGTCCTTTCCCATACCTAGCCTTCCAATTCTTTCTATTTCCTGCATCTGGGAAATGTGAGAACCTGGACAGCTTAAGCAGACAGGTAAACGGGGCTACAGAAATATCGTGATTGACTTGTTAGTGGATGATTGTAAAAGACATCTTCTGATTCTGGCTTCTCAAATTTCTGGAAGAATTATTAACTAAGAAGCAATCTTTATTGCCTCGTACATGATGTCTGGCTCATGACAGACACTGAGAGTTTACAAACCCGTTGCTAGCAAGGTACTTACAGCTATGGAAAATCGCTGAATGTTTTCATCCTCGCAGTCTTCAATGACCTGTTTCAGTCGATAGTTATCATGTGATTCTCCATCAGTCACTATGACCATGACCTTTTTAACTCCCCTCCTGGCACCCCGAGCTTCAGTGAATGCCTCTTTCCTGAAGGAAACACAGACCAAAAGGGAGGCTGGTCAAACTCAGCCCAAAGTCAGACAAAATAAAAAGCCCTACAAAAATACAGCAACTCTGCATAGCCTAATACTTCCCTCCAAGGTGAATGATCAGGGACTCCAGGGTCAGAGACGAGAGGCACCGTGATTCCCATCTGCAATAGTTCCACAGGTGTTGCACGTGATAGGGACCCAGCATATTACCACTTGCCACAGATGCCCATACAAAGCACAGGTGCATTGCTTTCCTTGGAAGCTTTAAAGGAGTGTTGTGACTGGTGTCAGTGTGGGAAAGAATATTCACATCTACTGTTAGAAGTGAAGCTTGGACTATAGATACCACAGACAGAGGAAGTTTTCCTATTATTCACTTACCTTCAGCAAGAACCAGGCCAAGTCAGTTAAGCACAATCCCCCAACTTACATGATTTCTCTTAGTAAGTTTTCATCAAATGACTCCCCCCCCAACTCTGTCCCACATTAAATCTCTACTTGTCCTTGTATTAAAAGCTGAGCCGAATGTCACTCAACTGCAACACCCCATTGCAATGGTTCCCATCTTTAAGAACCTTATGAATATTTTTTTCTTTAGCATGAGCCTGTAATGCAGATTTTCTGATTTCTTTAAATGCTTAGACAAAAGGTGAAGACAGATGTCAAAAGCTAAGTTTTAAAGGAAGTTTGGACATGAATATTGTATGACATTTAGTCTATTTTGCAATTCTAATTCCTTAGTGGATCATCCAGAGCTTCTAATTCTCTGAAGATTAAGGTCATAGCTGAACGTAATGAATGTCATCTAATGAAGATGATTAGCAGTCCTTTCTGAGAGAAATTCTGGTTGCTCTGAAACTCGAGCCGACTTCATATAACAGAAGAGCAGGCAGCTACAGAACTGCAGAGTCCACCCTTCCCGTCTCAAGTGCATTCCTTAAGGAGTTAGCATGTCTGAAACACCAACACCTAATAACGCCTTTTCTTAGAATGAAGCATCATCCCTCGCCCCCCATGGTCCTTTAAAATTTTAAGTATTTCAGGAAAGCCACTTACTTTGGGATAGGAGAAGTCAGGATTTATGAGTAATTAAATAATTTAAGCCTGGTTACAGGAATGAAAAAGAAGGGAACATCCAAAGCTATTCTGAACTGAAGTGAATGAATTCACTGAAAATGAAGATAACAGATTCCGAAGCATTCAAAATATTTTTTTTTTTGTAACGGGCTCCCCTTAAAAGGAATAAAACACAATCAAAACTGTGCTTACACATGATAAATTAATGTGTGAGAAAAATAATGCTGTAGTATCATTAAAGACTCTTTGTGTAACCCCCAAACTTAATAAATTCTGTCTACAGATAGGTCATGTGAGAAATGTGGGCAAACCCCATATAAGGCCATGGTATTTCAAGTAGCATTTGTACAGGAGTGGAAGCAGCTACAGTGGTTCTTCCATTAGTCACAAAGATAAATATTCATTCTTAAGCTTTTGCCTCTGGAAAACGCACAATTCTTTACAGGCTCAGAGCTTTCAAAGCAAGCTCTGACTTTCTGCGAATGTGTGTTCACATTCAATCAGCTATTGAGGGCACTCTCAGAATACCTACACATGTGCACCCTTACGCATGCAAATATGCCATCCTATAAGCAGATAAATGCACAGTTACCACAGCTATTTGTGTTCGTGTGTGTGTGTGTGTGTGTGTGTGTGTGTGTGTGTGTGTGTGTGTGGTGTTCCCATAAAATCTGAACCATGTGCTTTTCGTAGCATTTATGACTGAATTAGCTTCCTATGGTATCCATTCTCACAGGCAAGTGGAACGTGACCATAGTAAATTACCTTCTCAAAATCAGCCAAGAGTGCAGAAGTTGAAACAACTTAACAGAAGTATTCTTTTTTTCTTTTTCTTTCTTTCTTTCTTTTTTTTTTTTTTTTTTTGAGACAGGATTTCTCTGTGTAGTTTTGGTGCCTGTCCTGGCTCTTGCTCTGTAGACCAGGCTGGCCTGGATCTTGTTCTATAGAACAGGCTGGCCTCGAACTCACAGAGATCCACCTGCCTCTGCCTCCAGAGTGCTGAGATTAAAGGCGTGTGCCACTGCCACCCGGCCAGAAATATTCTTAATATGAATCAAAACACTTATGAAGCATCTTGTGAAGTTTAGGTTTTGCTTAGACATTTGCTAGGTTTGAAAATAATGACAGAAGGAAGAGCCAGAGATAAGAACTGAAAGACTGGAGAAAATACAGGAAGTACAGTGCTCTGCATCTGTAAAAGAAAACACTTGGAAGGTTCTTATGAAGCAAAATTTGCCCAAAGAGTAATGAGATGAAAGGCAGAGAAAATTTAGTAAAAGAAGGAAGCAGGCAAGGCACCGCAGATGGTGGGGACATTTCATTTTTTAAAATAATGTTGTGATGAAGTTTTTTTTTTTTTGATAAGGCAACATTTAATTTGGCTTCTTAAAAAATTCTTGAATGAGGACCAGAGGAGTAGCCCAGTCACTAAAGCTCTGGTCTTTGTAAACATGAAGACCAAGTCCAGTCTTCAGAACCCATCTTAAAAAGAAAGCTAGGCCGGGCGGTGGTGGCGCACGCCTTTAATCCCAGCACTCTGGAGGCAGAGGCAGGTGGATCTCTGTAAGTTTGAGGCCAGCCTGGGCTACAGAGCAAGATCCAGGACAGGCACCAAAACTACACAGAGAAATCCTGTCTCGAAAAAAACCAAAAAAAGAAAAGAAAAAGAAAAGAAAAAGAAAAACAAAAACGAAAGCACCCGAGGTTGTCCTCTGACCTCAAGTGAATACGTGCGTGCACACACACACACACACACACACACACACACATGCACGCACCCATGTAACACATAGATTCATAGGGTCTATTTTCAAAATGAGGTGCACTCACAGTATTATTGAGGTGAGTTCATCAGAGTTGCAGGAAAGTGCTAGGTTTGTCTCTCCCCGATTGGCATGTGGCATCTGCTTGTCTCACAACTGTGAGAGTTCGAAGTTAAGTTACAGGTGGTCTGATGCATGACTGACTTCAGGATCAGAAAAGTGGGGTGGGGGTAGCCTCAAACCCCAAATCATTTATTGTACAAGACTTTGTGTCCTGGGCCAATTGGATGTGGAGTTTGAGAAGGGTGCAGTTCTAGTCTAAAGGAAAAGAGAATAGGAATTTCGGGGGGTTGTAGAAGTTTTTAAAAATGAATAACTTGTTCCAAATCAGCATGCTGACCGTGTTTGCCTTGCCTGTGTGCCAGCATTCCTTTCTGAAGAATAGTACATTAAAAACTGCTTCATTTTTACTAGTCTCCTGAATTTGTAATCACCCTATATCCAATGGCAGTGCGCGTACACACGAGCGCGTGCACACACACACACACACACACACACACACCCTATATGTAAATTAGAAAAATCCTATATCAAGTACTAGTGATACAAGAACATGGTAGAATATGTAAGTTGAGTCGACATAGATTGTATTTTGATACATTTATCGATATGCCTAAAAGTGAAAAATAAAAATCAAATGGATACAATAATGTTGGGAGGCATTGCTGGCTGGTCAGAGTTTGCAGTCTATATCATGGCCCGGAAGATTTTTCCAAAGCTTGATGACATGGGACTCCTTCCCCAGCAACACAACTTCCGGTAGGCCCTTATCTGGAAAATATCCCCCGGCCTAGAGGACTGACCTTATCTGAAAGCTGTCTCTAAGCCTGGATGCTTAATTTACCTCTAGGTTGACCCTTGGTCACTGCTAGATGCCTCCCTTGTTGCACATATGGTAATTAAGACTTGTACTAGGAGCTCTGCTATAGGACCCTGCTGCCACATTTGAAGGCTTATGATAGGAGCATGCCACTTAATGCAAATTAGGCTTTGTCCCCAGGCTCCCCAATCGTATATATTTTCTATACTCTGGAATAAAGCTGAGCTGATTCACTGTAGTCTCTCCCAGAGGGCTGTCTCTGTCATGTTTACATGCAATACAAGGATCTCTGCCCCTTTGTCCTCGTTGACGGATGGCCAACTGACCTCGAAGACAAAAGGGAGCCCTCACACAAGAATTAATGTTAAGCATCAGTTCACAGCAGCATATCAACTATTGTTAAGTTTTTAGTTGATTCACCATCAGACCCTTGAAATGAAAGGCAAAGATAAGCAGGGTAGTGAGACTACATTACTGTAGAACTTGATTGTTTAATAGTAAATCTCCTAAATGGAATATGAAAAATGTGGCATTGAATATTGTCAAGGTAAACATCGAGTCAAATTCCAAAGGCAGGCATTGCTAGCGGTTGTACTGAATGGTCTTTTGCACATTTTTATTTTTATGTTGTTTTACTTTTGAGGTTATAATATCATCATTTCTCTATTCCTTTTCAACCCTTCAAACCCTCGTATATAACCCCTCCTTGCTCTCTTTCAAATTCATGACCTCTGTTTTCATTAACTGTTGTTGAATGCGCAGACAGACATACATTATCATATATATGATATATATTCTACATTATCATGTATATGATACACACACACACGTATGTGTGTGTGTGTGTGTGTGTGTGTGTGTGTGTGTGTGTGTGTGTGTGTGTGTTGTGTATGTGTGTGTGTATGTGGAGGGGCCCCAAAATAGCTTGACCACACAGCAGCCATGACAGGCTTAGGGGCCTAGACACAGCTTCTGTGACAGGTTTACTGGCAGGCAAACCCAGATCCAGGAAAAGCCTTAAGCTGATAACACCCAAGGATCCACCCAGGGGTGAGGAAGTACCTGATATCCCAAACATTCCAACCATTAGATAAGGTGGCCAGATGTCCTTGAGTTTAGCACACACCTATTTTTTGTTTTACAGATACCCCTTGCTATGATAAAAACTCTGCCCCACCTGAGCTCAGGGCTCTCTTCTCTCACTGCTGTGTCGGACAGACAGAGGAACCAAGCTCCAGAGCTTGAAATAAAGGCTCTTGCTTTTTCATGCGGGATTTGGTCTCTGTGGTGGTCTTTTGGGGGTCCCTGTGATCTGGGCATAACATGTACATACATATACACACACACATATACACATACACATACAAACACACACACACACACACACACACACATATACCTACTTAGTATGTATAATGTTACCTGTATATATGTTTTCAGGGCTGACTGATGGATACATCTACAAGATAACTCCTGTACCTAAGGCTCAGGGAACATTGCAGAAGAGGAGACAGAAAGACAAGCCAAAGAATCAGGAACTTGCTGTGAGATTTTGTCTCCTAGAGATGTCAGAAGTCACACCCATAAAGTCTCACCAACATGATTTTTAATACATACCTGGCTGTGTCTATTCCAAGGGCTGTCATTGTTTGGACACCACCTCTCTGGTTTATTTTGTTTGCTGCAACAAGGACCTCTTCTGTCGATGAATACTTATTGAGGTTGAACTCATGGGTTACATTTTCTCCATACTGTACAATTCCAACCTGAAATACCAAGTTATCGTTGAGTCATGCATCTAGCAAAATTTCCTACTCTTTTTTCTTGACTTTAAACATATAGGACCAGTAGAATACCTTTTAGCTTTTTAGACGAATGTCATAATTGATCAATACATAAAGCCTTCTACCTTGATAGCAATAAATAATGGCCACTTTGTGAATATGAACAGTCCAAAGAAAAACATAAAACTGCTGTCACTATCTAATCAAAAAATTTTAGAGAATGATTCCAGCAGGCTCCCAGGGCATATTCTGCTATATTTTAACCTTCTTTTGTTTTATTTTCTTATATGACTGATTCATATTATAGTAACAAATCATCACATTTAATAAATGAGGAAACAGAGTCTTAAGAACTAATTTCCTGGCTGGGGATATAACATACATGAGGCCCTGGGTTCAATTCTCAGCAGGGAAGGAAACAAACAAACAAACCAAACTCATACTCCACACTGAAGAGGGAGACAGGGGTCTAGCCTCAGAAATGTCAAAACTGGGTCCCTCCTAGCATCCCCCTTCTTTAGTTAACATGAGCTGCTAGCTTCTAGTAATCAAGAGAAAACTTGAGCTACACTAGAGTAAATAGGCAAATGAATAAGCTGATAATATTTTAAAAAAGAAATAGAATATGGTATTTCTCCCTTATAGTTGTTTAGTTGGTCATAAGGTTAAATAAAGGAGCTGGAGAATCTATATAATTGTGAGATGAGACATATATTGTAAGATGATTGAACATGAATTCTGCTTATTTTATGTCTAGGATAACCTTGTTCCTCCACAAATGCATTTTGCACCCAATTTCTCTACTATATATCCCAAGACTGTAGGTTATTCAATTGGAATTTTATTCCCTATAGGAATAAAGGGTAGTGTAGTGATACATTGTTTGTAATCTAGGAAATACATGTTGCTTGAAGGTCAGAGAACAGAGCTAGCCCCAGAGTTAGTCATAGAGGTCAGGCAGTGGTGGCATACATCTATAATCTTAGCACTTGGGAGACAGAGGCAGAGATCTGTCTGGATTTCTGTGAGTTCAAGGCCGCATTGGGCTACATGAAATTAATCCAGTCTAAAAAGGAAAGAGCCAGGCAGTGGTGGCACACACCTTTAATTCCAGTATTTGGAGTCACACACCTTTAGTCCCAGCACTAGGAAGGTTGAAACAGGAAGTGATATGGCTAGGCAGAGAAAGGAATATAAGGCAGGAGGAGACAGGAACTCGTGATCTTTCAGGCTGAGGAGTTGGTGAGGTAAGAGGTGGTGGCTGTGGCTTGGTCTCCTTCTCTGATATTTCATCTTTCACCCTGATATCTGGCTCCAGGTTTTTATTGTAAGACCATTTAGGATTCATGCAACAAGGTAGGATGTAGCCAACTAGTTATACAAAATATTAAAAGTGAATGAGGACAAACCCATGACTCTAATTTAGGTTATTTCCTTGAGTTATATTTAAATGGTTTTATTACTCATTTTTAGATTTAAAATTATTGTCTCTAATGACAATACAGATTTAGATTATCAATCCTGAGGGATACTGACCTCTGAAAGAGAAACTCATAAATATTTTGATTTTTGCCATTATAAACATGCAATATAGATTTCAATGAAATACTTTTGTTACTCAGATATTCATTATATCTAATCTTAAGTACCAAGCTTCATAAAGATTTCTATGGAAGCCAGTTGTTCATGAATTTAAGATATCTCACTGAGCTTGTTTCCTTTTTATTTTCACATTTTTAGTTAATTAATCAGGAGTCTAAAAATTTGAAATTTTCTCTCCCACTCCTGTCCTTATTTTAACAGTACTGAATATCCTCTTCTCTCATGCCTTTGACCTCCTGAGCTCTGAGACTCTTTCCCTCTGGCTCATGGATGACAGCTCTCCTCAAGGGCTTCCTATCCTTGATTCTATCATCTGCAAGAGCAATAGTCTTAGTTCCAAGTGTTTTCTTCACTGGCCATTAACGTCAGCTCATTTGTCTGTTCTATCTAAGCTGTCAATCACTTGACCATATCAAGACCTCATGACTGCCAATATCTTTAGCAACCTATCAGCTAAGACTGGATTCTATGGTACAATTACTGTAATCATCTACTTGCAAAAATCTAACTCATTTAACCTCTTTTCTCCTTCACTAACTCACCTGGCTAACTTCCAACTCCAGGTAAATCCAGCTATCTTCATGTGTGATTCTGCAGTGCTGAATGTTTCTATGCAAAAGTCACTTAGCTTGTGTATCAGTCTCCTGCTAAAGTTACATCTATGAATCTCAAATGGGGTCTTGCATTTAAGCCCCACCCAACAGTCATACAACTTGCTACTAATGAACGTACTTTGCTCCCATTTGTTGATTTCAATCAGATTTTTCTCAAGGGCTGTTAAGGCTCACAGGAGAATTTATCTATTTATCTTAACTGTGCTCACAAAGAACTCACATGAAAGGGACAGAAGTCATACCAACCATTCAAGGCTGCTGGATACCAGGTATGTGTGAGTGACTTATTTTTACAATATACCTTACATATCTCAAAGAGTCTGCTCCGAATGATGGATTGTCTAAAGAAATTATCTTCACTATAAACACTGAAAACTCAAGATCTTGGTGTGGTGGTTTGAATGAAAATGTCTCCCACAGGCTAAGACGTTTGAAGACTGAGTCCCCAGTTGGAGGCACTGTTTGGGGAGATTTAGGAGTTGTGGCCTTGCTGGAAGAAATGTCACTGGGGTGGGCTTTGACAGTTGAAGACTCACACCATTTCTAGTTCACTCTCTGTGCTTCACACTTGTGGTTCAGCTTCTGCTCCACTTGCCACACCTGTGGCTTGCTTGCCATGCTTGGGCTCACTCCCCTGGAATCTTAAGCCAAATAAACACTTCCTTCTATAAGTTGCCTTGGTTGTGGTGTTTGATCACAACAATAGAAAAGTAATACACTTGGTAAGTCAGAGACATGTGCTTTATATTTTCTCATCTATCTATCTATATCTATCTATCTATCTATCTATCTATCTATCTATCTATCTATCTATCCAACTGTCATTATCTATCATCTATCCATGTATCTATCAGCTATTTATTTATTATCTATCATCTATCTCATCTGTCTACCATCTACTTGTCTGTTTCTATCTATCTATCTATCTATCTATCTATCTATCTATCTATCTATCTATCTACCTACATATCTATCATCCATCTATCATCTATCCATCCATATACAATCATCATTTGTCATCTACTAACACATTTCTCACTTCGGCAAGCTTATTCTTTGTAAACGTTAAGATATAGTGAGCTTACAATAGTCAGTTCCCTCACCTTTTCAGGGTGCCCAATGTCTAACTACCCTACTGGAGGCTGTTTTCAACTGACTGTCTTCAGGATTTTCACCTGTTTTGCTTTGAAAGTTTAGAGAACAGGAACACTTCTTTCTCCCAACCCATCACCCTCTCTTAGGCAGGGCTTGAGTGCAGGGAACAGCAGCCTGGAGCCTGGACTCAAGCTGCATGTCCCTTGTCCCTTTCAGGTGGATCTGAGGCCTGGACTCCACCTGAAACCACACCTCTGCTTATCCTCCGTCACTACTCCACTTTGCTTCCCTGGATCCTTGTTTCTTTTCTACAAGAAGTGCTTCCTTAATAATCCATACTATGTGACTCCTCTTCCCACAATCTGCCCTTGGAAACTGGACCGCAGGCATTATCGGTGCTCCTTTATTCCCACCTAAACCCAGATGTCAAGGTCTTGAACCTCAACCACAGCAGAGGTTGCTCTCACCTCGCCCACTCTCAAGTCCTGCTGTGTAACATTGGGCTATTAACTGAAACAATGCAGCCATCACATTAATTCCCCACTCAAAACCTCCCATTGTTCCCCCTTGCTGATATCAGGGACTCTGCAAAATAGTTTTATATAGTATTTTCACTCTCATTTCAAAGACAGAAGAGGTAAAATGCAATGTCAAAGTGCCAGGTTCCTTAAAAAAAAAAAAAAAGTTAAATCCAGGCAGTGGTGGCACACACCTTTATCCCAGCACTCAGGTGGCAGAGGCAGGCAGATCTCTATGAGTTCAAGGATAGTCTGGTCTACAGAGTGAGTTCCAGGAAGGTAAGGCTACACAAAGAAACACTCTCTTGAAAAATAAAAAAAAAAAAAAAGGAAGAAAGAGAAAAAGAAAAAAATTAAAATCAGAGTGAACACCACATATACACATCTCTCTCCCACAGCTTTGTCGCTCCATTCATTCTAGAAGATTCAACTCCACCTTCCTTGCAAAACGTTTCTCACCCAGCTGTCAACACAGCTTATATCATACTGCCGTTGACTTCCCCGTCTGAGAACTCAGGGGCACACTTGCCTACACTGCATTCTTCTCAGTTGTGCTGTGTGCATGTCTTATCTTTACAAGTGGAATGAAGTTCCCAGGGTCTGGCAGGGTAAAGAGCACGGACTACGTCACAGCTTTTCATGTTCCTTTATCCCTTCCTGCCGCTTTGTTTCGCTCACAGTTGACCCTCGTACATTCCGAATAGATGACTGTGACAGTGCAGAGAAGCCAGTGGAAAACTGAGATAGCCAAGAAACAGCGATAGGCAGACCAAGCATGACACACAGAGTGTGGGAAACGAGAAGGGAAGTGGGAGAAACTCAGATATTGGGGGAGGTGACCTTCAGTGTTGATTGATGGCCAAGTCTAGATGCATATTTTCTTAGAAACTAGAGAGAATAAAGCCTACTGTGGGGCTTCATTGGAAAGGGGACCATTCATTAATTTTTGCCTTAGGAGTCAAATAATAATATATACACATAATATTATGCTGAGTGCTGATAAGAACCAATTCAATATAGATGATTTCAGATCAAGATTAGCTTCTAATTTAGGGCCGATGAAACAAATCCATACAAGCATGACATATATAAATAATCATACAAAGTAAGTAAATATGAAAATTAAAGATGTAAAAAATGAGTCAAGCATTGA